CTACCAGATGCTAAAGTATTCTAAATTCCAAAATTGAAATAAAAATCTTGACTAAATACTTAAACTCAAATAATTATCTTGATAGTTATCAAAATTAAAGTTGATTTTTATATTTTATTTGTTTTAGCTAATTTCAAGTAAAACAAAACACTAAGGTGTTATTGATCAAATCGAACTTTATCATTAAGTTGATTGATCAAGATATTTTCAATACTTGGCTGTCAATAGATTCCCTTTAAATATAACTCTTATTATAAATCTTCATATTTTTCTTAAATAATTTCTTGTTACAATTCCGCTTGTTTTGCGAGAATATCGTGACTCATTCTTACAATTTTCTTATTTTTCTATAATAACTTATTGTTCTTGTTTTAATGACATTAATAAATCATTTTGTTGGAATTCTTTTTCAATTTCTTAAATTAAAGTTTTTTGATGCTTTTTCTATTGGCAATTATACATTTAAATCAGATACTTGCTTTTCAATAACTCTTCGAGCATATCATAGGCAACACTTAAATTATTATTTCCATCATTTATGGAGTTTCTACTAATTTATTTAATTTTATCTACTTCATCATCTTTTCATACTTTTCAATACTCCATAATTTTGATAAATTAATACCCAGACTTCCTAGAGCTTCAACTTCTCTTTAAAGTAAAAAATTCATCTAACTCAAAAATCATAAAAGACTTTCTATTTATCTCGAATTCAAAAGTTCCTAAGTTTTTTACTTGGATCTATCAAAAAAATTTCTAAAATGATTCCTATAGTTGTTTCCAAGACAATTCAATCTTATTAATATCCATAGTTCTTTCTTTTTCAATTTATTGTTACCATTTGTATATTTCAACAATAAGCAATTTAATACTTTGAATAACTTATTTTTGTAAATATTCATATGCTTGTCTCTTATCAAATTTAAGAAGCTCAATTTCTTTAAATTTCTTTTTTTTTCAGGCTCAAACCCTTCTCTATAATTAATACATGTAAAAGTTTCGCTCTTGTTGTAAAAATTCCAAGTGAGCCTGACCAATTTTATCTAACTTTGTTGTTTAAATATAGATTTTTCTAAATATTCCCTAGTTTCGTTTCATCATAGCTATCCATAATCAATAAAAACCTTTATTCTTTCTTCTCAAACTTTTCTTTACATTCTTTCAATTAGAGAGTATCAAACCCATAATCATCTGAACGAAGCGTTTCCTCTACTGCTTAAAAAACTAGATTTTTAAAGATGGTAGTGAAATATAAATAGGTATGAGTCTTGATTGTTGATTTTTTGATCAATCTCATGCAACTTCCATAGAAATTCTTCAATTTTCTTTGCTGTTGTACTTTTGCCAAATCGAGCTATTCCATGTATTAGCATAACTGTTTTTCCTCCTATAAACAACTCATTTACTTCACCAACTTTATCCTTAAATTAGTCTAAGTTCATCAAATTACTTTATTCTTTTTTCCCACTCTCTTATGATTTTAATGGCACATAGATGGATTTAACATATTTATATGCTGCTTCCTTCAATACCTTCCATTTTTGAATTTCAAGCAGTTATTCAACAGATTTTCCTTTCAAAAATTTAATGCCGTTTCCCATACTATTGAGTTGCTCTTTCATTTCATTGATTTTCCCCTCAACACTTAATAACCTTTTTCTTATATGATGAACAAAGTCAGTTATCAATTGAAGCTATTAACCCATTTCACTACTATTTCCTATATATTCATCGAATTATTACGTTGTTTCATCCAATTCTTTTAGTTGTAAATCACGTTTATTGAGGTTAGCCTCGTGGCTAATTTATTCTTATAGTTTGTCAATTCTCAACAACATTTATTGCATCTCGCCTGATATTCTATCATGCTAAGTTTACCAATTTTTTTTCAAGTTCTGCATTTCAAAATTAATTAAGTTCTCATTTTTTAATAAGTTCCTACTCTCTAATCTTTCTCAGAAACCCACAATTAGATTAAAGATTTCTAACAAAATTTAATAGTGTCTGTAAAACAATTTGATGAAATCTAAATTATTGTAAACACCAGAACCTATTTAATTTTCCATTCGTCGTTATTGTTAAAATCTTTAAAAATTTGTTTTAAAGAATCAAAAAAACCTAATTCTTGGTTTTATGTTCCATTATATTATAGATCCTAATTATCTGAGAAGTAAATTTTCCTAATTTATTGAATTAGAAACTCTAATTAAATTGATGGATTTAAAAAATATCTTGTTTCTACTATTTTTTCTTAAATATGCAACTATAAATAATGAAAAAAATCAGTAATATTTGTTTATGTTTAAGTGATCTCTGTATTATTTATTCCTTAAGATAAATTTGATAATATTCTTTAAAAGTATATTGTAAATTCTGATTCTCCTTTTAGGATATATTATTAGGTGTTGTTATTTATTTTTCAAATTTTTTTATAAATTCTTCTTATCTATTTTAAATTATTTTTAAACATTTTTCCTTCGTATTTTTTGTGTATCTTTGAATTTGATCAATATCATGAAAAAACTTATGCTTGCTTCAAGTAATTTCTATAATTCCTTCTTTACTTCGTTTATTTTTTATTAATTCATTTGTAAAATTATACTAATACATTTTAAATAAGTATAGCAGAAGAATAGATGTAATAGTAGTATAATTTAAAACAAACAATGAATATTTAATTATAAAAATAAAAGAGAAGAAGGATTTTGAAAATCATGCCCAGATTTTTTTTTTCATAAATACTTCTATTTGGTTGGTTAATTATAAATAAAACGCGATATTAATCTATTTTACCTATTAATATATGCTCAATTCTGACAAAAAATTTGAAAATTTTTCCTTCAAAAACCTCATTTCTGATAAAGATAAATTAAATAGTTTGTCACTCACATTTTTTAATAACTCGTTAAAAGATAAACCTTCAATAATCTTATCAAAATCCTTTTAGGAAAAAGATTCTTCAATGAATAAATCTCCTGATGAATAATAATAATAATAATGATTTGGGATAATTCAAAATCATTTCTACATCTCACTCTATTGTTATTTTTTTTTTAAATTCTTTTCATACAAATCTATTGTGTAAGGTTGTTTAATGACTTAGAATTTGATTTTGTAATGTCATTAAAGTATTCTTAATCTCCTTTATTAAATTTTCTAGTTGTATCTATCACATATAAATATATTTTTCTTCTATAATATTCAAAATTTGTTTAATAATGAGTATCTATATGTTTTAAATCTAGTGGTACATTGCAATCTTTACAAAGCATTGAATCATATTTAAATAAATCAAAGAAACCTTGATTTGGAATTTTTCTAATAATATTTGAATTCCATTATGGGATATCATCACATAAACTTCTATAATGACATCTGTTGGCTAAGACTTACCATTTTAATTTTTTTAAATCCTATTTTAATCTTCTTATATATATCTATTTTTTATTTTCAATATCATTAGTGATAGGAAAATTAAATAAATTTATATCTTGGTAGTAACTTTGACAAAAATTTTACTTACCAACTATTTTTTTTTACAATATTTTCACAATATTATAATGTGGTTTAAGACTTCCTCTAAAATTTAACCAAACCCCCAAATATTTATAAGATTAAAAATTTAAAGCCTTTTCACCAAAATTTATCTTTTCTTCATGATATTATAAAGAATTTATCTATCTACTACATTATAGGCATTTGACAAATCTATAAATATAGCTGTTTTACCTTTAACTTATTTTCTTTATAGAAATCTTGTTACTTCTTAAATATGAATTTAGGTACCCATACCTTAAAAAAATCCAATTTATTCAGGATTTATATAGTAGCTGACATATTCTTTGAGCCTTTCTTCATAGAAGAGCTCAATCATTTTTATTACATGAGACATTACTACTATTGGCCTGATTTATTCTTTATTTGGAATATTTGGACTTATTTTGTTTATTGGTATCAATCTCATTTACATTGTAAATCTATATTTTGACAGTTTATATAAATTCATAAACGAGAAATCTTGTCTATTATTTTATTCCCATAATTCTCTTATTTTTATAGATGAGTTCAATCATAAGATATTGCTTTATTATAATATTCATATTTATCTCCACGTAATGGCTATTTATATCTCCATTATTAATTTTCTTCACACCTAAAATTTTTTTCTTCTTAAGTAGTTACTGATAAATCTGGTATTTCAATCCTTTCAATCCTTCTTATCCTATATCATTTAAATTAATTTAATTTTGAAATTACCAATTTCTTTACAAATTCTTATTTAATATTTAAGAAATTGAACATAATTGATTAATGCATTCTGAATTCATTTATTTATAATCTGTTATAAATTAGTTTTGCTCAACATTTAGAATATTTACTATCATTCCAGCTTTCTATTTTCCAATACCACTTATATGTTTTATTATTTAATGAAATTCTTTTCTATTTTTATTAATCAATTTGCATAAGTTTAATTTATATCCTTCATCCCATTTTTAATAACTTGGTATTTTAAATTTAACAATTTTTATTGAAGGTAATTATTTGTTTGCTATTTTAATCATTTCATTTATATTATTATATTCCTCTTTTTTATCTCCTAATGAATTTTCAATTAACTATAAATCTAATTCTTCTATCGAAAGGATTTATTCTTCTAAAAATAAATTGAATTGCAGGTATTCTATTAATCCTTTCTACTTTGATAGTTTATCTTTCTAATTTTATTAAATGAATTATAATTCAGAGGTAGCCACTTTTACAATATCATTTTTCGTAACAATCATCTTTAAATCCTTGAATTTATGATTATAAAATTGATTCTAATGCTTTCATCAAATATCTCAGCGATTGAATTCTATAATTTTATCCTATTTAAGTTATTATATCTGATAATTTTATTTCCTTGAGTTAATCTTAGGATATATACCTTTAAGTTGAGAATAATCTGATTTATTTATGAATCGTATGCGATTTATGATAGCCTCTCATTAATCTTAGTATTGTTTTCCCTAAAATTCCTTTCATATTCACCTACTATTCTTAATTTCTAATAATTTTCTTCTATTAAAGTTAATAATTTATTTGAGATAATTAAGTCAAAAATGTTTAGATTTTGCCAATTGCTATAATATATTCATTTTATTAATGTCCAAAACAGCTTATATTAAATTTATTTTGTAGATATGCTTTTAATGTGAAATGTAAATTTTGATTTTTTTCATTCTGTAAGAAATCTTTAAGCAATATGAAGTGTTCCCATCCTTTGAAACAGTCTTTTAGTATTATTCTATCAATTTAAAGTAATTATTATTTATTTTTAAATTAGCTAAGTTAAATGAGAGCTTAGTCATTGTTATGATTCATTAAAATAAGTAATCCTTTGCTCTGATATTCTTTCCAAATTTAATTAGGATGGGTTTCAATATTGTAATGACGAGCCAGATAATTTAATTTTGGTTTTGTTAAAAGAGGATTATTAATTAAGATTTTTCAAATCAATTAAATCCACAAAAATGATTTACCCATTTATTTGTATTTTAAACAAGATTTTGATGTGATTCTGAATTTCTAAAAGTACTTCTTCTAAATTTTTTTATCTTTCTTTTTAAAAATAACTAATTATCTCCCATTACAATATATCTATTTAAAAATAAACTTCATATTATCTTCTATTTTAAAATGAATAAATTTTCTAAAGTTGACAGGCTCCCTTAAAAAATGATTCAAACAATTCTGCGCTAGGGTTCATTTACATTATTGATGAAATTATCCCACTTAAACATCCTTTATAATTTCTTCCCTTTCGTTTTTATTATTGGGAGCCATTTCGCAAGATGTCTGAGTTAGGAAAAGATAAAGTTCCTTTTAAATTTGAATTAGATCATTCTTCTCTGTTTCCATTAATTACTTTAATTCATCAGAAATATTCATAAAATCCTTTATAAATAATATTCTAAAAATCTCTCATCACTAATTATGTGGAAACTAAATATCACTTTCGATAGAGATGCTAGAATCTATAAGATATACAAACATTTTAACTAATCTGCTCTAATGTAGATCAAGCAGCTTTTTAATAATTTTCGAATTCCATCTAATATTAAATTGTATGATTTCATGACATCCCAGCTTTTTTGTTGAGTTTATAGATATTTTCCTCTTAAAAAGTAAACTATTGAATGGCTATCATTATTTCTTAAGATTCTTATTCATTTATAGCAACAGCAGCTTTTGTGAGGATTCGTTCAACATAGAAATTGAATCTTTTAGTTGTGTTTGTGATTTATTATTATTGACTTATTTATTATGTAGTTATGCAACCATCTCCACGCAGTGAGAATTTAGTTTTCTCCATTAACCCTGCCATTTTTATGATAATTTAAATAATAAAATCCACACCGGTAGAAATCCTTATATCATGATTTAGGAATTCAGAAATTATTTAAAGATACACTTTAATGGAATTTGGAATTTTCTAAAAATGTATTTCAATCAATAATTAATCGGCCCTTGGATCCTTATAGGTTAACTATTCTTTGAAGTCAATTAATTTATATGGGCCTTCTTCAATTCTATTTCATTATTTCATGAAACTGTTCTCCTGTATTTTTCATCTGGGTCAACACCACTTACTATGAAAGAGTTAGGATGGGTTTATTTTAAAAATATGTTTTGTAATCTTCATCTTTTTGAATTATTTGAGTCAATTATTTCTCAATAAAGGTTTTCTAAAGAGCAGCCTTATGATATTTAATATAAAGGTTTATTTAATAAAGAAGAGCCAACATGAATTGTACTCCATTCTTCTTTTATTTTATTTTTCATTAAATCTAAAGTTTCCACAGATTCATAATTTACTACATTTAACATTTAGTTTTTTTTTAATGTTTGCATATTTAGGAAACATTAGGCATCTAAAAATTTACCAAACTTGATATTAAATACACTCAACCACATCAATTTTAGATTAATCTTTTTACTATTTCTATGTCAAAAGGGTAATATTTCTTCTTTTCCAATTTAATATAATTTATTGATATTTGAAACAAATTTTCGCTAATCTAGTACTTTAAAATAAGGATGAGCATAATTAATGTAAGTTTTATTTATAAATTGTATTTAATTTGTAATTTTTTAATTTTTAATATTGAATTAATGGCCTAATTCATATTCTTTATCAAATCTTTATGTAGCTTGATATTATTCAACAAGTGATTTTATCTAAGATTTATAAAAGTTAATAAATACATCATAACTTTAGTAATTATCAACCTTATTGGTTTTTAAAAATTAATAAGTCAAAAATAATTTAACTAGGATTTGACTTCAATTTCTCATAATTATTCCTATCTTTGAAGGTTTAAAAAATGTATTTTATGAATGAACAACTTTATCATCCAATCTTTGAAAATCTTTGATGTTTTAGAAATAGAGTGCAGCAAATAAACAATATTTTTTAAATCCAAGTTCTAGCTTTTCATCATGTACATTATCTAATATAGAGGAAGCTAGATTGATTAACCTAACTGGACTTAAATAAATATATTATTTTAGTTTAATAAGAACTCTATTTAATGAGAATTAACTATTCCTCTGCATTAAACTTGGCTAACATCTATTCCAATTTATTTATAATTCCATGTTAATTTTGTCTTTCATCTTCTATTAATTTAATTAGCACTTCATCAACATCCAAAATTCTTTATTTTTTTAATTAATCAATTAAATATTATCAAAAGTCTGCAATAAACTAAGCGATTATACTTGGCAAAATATTCTAAAACCTCTTTGACTCTCGTTTGTTCAGTGACGCCAAGTGCTGTCTCAGTTCCATCAGAAATATTTTGAATTCTAATAAGAAATAACCAAATTGGGACAAATTTAAGCTTTTAGGATTTTTCCAAAGCTTATCTTCAGTTTGCCTAAAAATTATTCCTTTCACTCTTAATTCTTCTTTTCCTTCAAGAGTTGTTCTTTTAAAATTCTGCTATTTCTAAGTAAAATTTGATTTTAAAATAAATTAGTATAAATCTGGTAATTCAAAAATTTTTTAGGTAATTCTTATAATATTAATAATGATCTATACTTATTTCACTTAATATAGCAGATTTTATAGACTTCTTTTGCTGACAACTTAATTCTGGGATATCTTTACTTATATATACTAGACATAGCTTCAATTTCATTTTGTCCAATAAAGATCTAAAAAATGTAAGTCAAAAAATTTTTGAAACACTTTATTAATATTGATTCAATAATATATTAAGTATGTTCAGTTAATGGCTAAAAGTTCCTTTCTTCAATGGCATTTTAATTTATAATATACAAAGTTCCTTTACTTTTTCATATGTATGTTCTCTATTTTCTTAGAATAATTTTTAAAATTAGTCAATATATTTCTTTTTTGCAATTGATGTTTTAACTCAAAATTGTATTTTAAATAATTGTTAATTTCTATTCAAATTTAAATACTCAATTAGGTTCATTCAATAGTTCTAAACTAAGAAACTCCCTAAATCTATTCCTCTTAGAGTCTTATTAAAGAAATTGAGAACGTTTTAACTTTCTAAGATAAGATAAATCATTCACTTATATTCTCTCAGTATTCATAATTTTAGCTACGACATTTTTTCTAAAATTATGTTTTTTTTTCATCTTTTAGTATAATACTATGAAAATATATATTTAGTATTTGCTTTAACTTATTTCAAAGCTATATTAAATTTATGTTGTTATTCATCTGAAACTTCAATAAAAGCAGCTCTGACTTCTCCAGATTTAAATAGATCAGTAATAAATCTAAAGCTTCATCAATATTTCAAAGTGCATCTGTATATTCAGTAGATGTTAATACAAATAAATTAGGTTAAATGTTTCTTGCATCTTAAGGAAATTTTTAGCCAGTTTTAAAAGTAAAAATGAATGAATATATCCTTAAATCTTCGTTCTAAAATTATTTTTATTTGGTATTTAGGTATAAGATTAGTTTAAAGGAATTAATCTAGCTTAAGAAAATATTTATCTCAATTTGCTATTCTTCTATAAATCTGCTCTAATTAGTAATTTTTGATGATCTTAAGAATTTTCTGATATTCCATCTTCTGTTATAGCTTTGTTTTTGGAAAACTATAGTAAAACAGGTAAGACTATTGATTCATAAAATTTTCTAGCACAATTTTATCTTAATTCTGTGAGGCAATTTGTTTTACATTATATTCTAACTGTGAGATTTCCACCGTCATCTTGATAAATCTAAGATTCCTCTAAAAAATGCAAAAATTTGGCTCCTAGAGAAAAGAAATCCATATGATTTGTCCAGATAATAATCTTAAGTTTGCTGATTTTGAGAAGTTTAGAGAAAGACTATATCAACAAGACTTAGAGTACTCAATGCTTTCAACAGATAAAAGGATTATTATTCTGATGAATCGATTATTTTAATAAAGAACAGGATTCTTATATTAAAAATTATGTTTTACATTTAAATAAAAATACATAAAATTTTCATCTTCAAAAATTAATTCAAATTAGTTTCTTGATTTAACTCTTATCATATCTGTATCTACTCAGAAGTGAAATTAATCTCTAGGCACTAGCCTTTCTAAATTAAACAAGTTATATATTTTAGATTCTCTAATCAGATTTATTCAAGAGTATGCAGAAATCATTTGAAGATAAATTTAGAGCATTCTAATGTTAACTTGTCTCGGTTTTCAATTAAATAATTAACTATAAAAAAGTTAATGGGTAGTATTTTCAATATCCACGCAATGTTGATCAAGGCATTCATCACAAAGTTTTCTTTAACATAAGCATTTATGTGATTCAATACATATCAGAGTAATTGGATTTTGAATATGATAAGTGCAAATTGTAATCTTCTTAAAAAATATTGATTTTTAATACTTTAATTTTATTACTAAATCTTGAATCAAAATCTGGGGGAAAATAAAGACAGACTTTTGTGGAAATGGAGAATGGAATGTAATTTAGGAGAAAAATTTTTAGAATATGAATTCAACTACTATGGTTTTAATATTATTTAAATTGTATTTAAGAAATTAACAAGCTGAAGTATAGATAATTGGAGAATTGATTTTTTTTAAAAAAAGATTCTATAAAAAGAAGCAAAATCAATATGAATATATTTTAAATAGATTATTGATAAAAATGCAAAATTAATCGTAATTGTTTTTCTGGATATCTTATTTTTTTAAATTAATGGAGAGGTGATACAAAATTCCTAAAAAACAAGTTTTATAGAAAATTTGAATGAGAAGTTAATTTAAATTTAAGAAACTTATAAAAATTTTAGCATCTCATCGTAAACAGGATTATAAATAGTAATTAACATAGATCGTAATTGAAGATATTTTATTATTATAAAATCAATAAACTTAAAAATTTTATAATTTTTATTAAAAAATACTAAAAGATTAAATTGTATTTTTTAAATACTAAATTGATTTTGTATTAAACTTACAGGAAAATATTTATATAAGAACAACTTACTTAAATGATAAAAAAGAGGGAAGATAATCTCATTATTATTCTAAGTTATAAAATCTCCAAATATATTCTTTAGCTTGATTAGTGATTAATTGGCTCGTAAATATTTGGTGAAAAACAAATTGTGGACTAAAGAATACACTTTTATTTCACTTAGTATGAAAAAACTCTTTTTTCTTTAAACTTAGTTTATTTTATTTCTGTATAAGCCTTGTAATATACTTGACTTTTCAAGGTGTTATTTTTTATGGAGGAAGACCTTTCTCAAAAATTTGAGATTTAAAGATAATTACAGAAATAAAAAATTAAGGAATTATAATATATCAATTTTAAGAGTAGGGGCTGCTTAAAAAAATATATTTTAACCACATCGAACTTTTATTTAAAAAAAGTAAACAATAATGAAATAACTTATTTAAAAATTTTTTCATAATTTTTAAAGAAGCATAGAAAGATGAAACAAAGGAAAACTGAATGTAAAATATTCAAAAGTATATGTATTTTAATTATAATTATGAAATAATAAAATATTATACTTATTTATAATATAAAAATTATAAGTCATTTATATTATAATTTAATAGGTTAAAGAGAATGAGAAATCTTTTAGTGTTTGGAATTTTGGATCATGTCTTATATATGAGTTTTATAGGTAGTTCTGATTATTCAATTGCAATGATATGTTTATCAGCAGGAATATTGTCAACTCGATTGTTAAAAGAGAATAATGTGATTTTGTCAATAATCAATTCGAGCACAATAATAATAATGGTATTGAATGCAATTTTATTATAATCACCAATAATGTATATGGCTGTTGGTTGTTCAATAATAATGGCATTAAAATCTTGGTGGACATGTTTTATCAGTGGGATTGGTATAATAGTTATTAGTTTAAAAATTGATATATTTACAATTTGTGAGATCTTAGCATTTCTATCAACTAGTGCAGCTTATTTACTTTACCTTCGATATCAATGTAAATGTAAAATAAAAGAAACACCAAAATCAGAGATAGTCAGCATGATAACAAAAAGGGATTCAATTTAATTTAAATAAAATGTTCTAGAGATTGGATAGTAATCACCAAATAAGGAATTTGAACAAACAGAATACAATTTATTCAAAAAATTATTAACAGCATTTCCAGATGGAGTGTTAATATTAAATGAATAATATCAAGTTTAATTTAGTAATGCAGCTTTTCGAAGTTTGATGAATGAAACCTTTGTGGATGTAGCAAAATAAAAATTGTTAAATTTAAGAAATGCAATTAATTCTGAATAAGATAATTATCAATAATTGTTTTTAATTTTAGATAAAAAGTTAAAATCTAGATCAAAAAGTTTAGGTAATGAAAAATCAGATTATATCTAATTAAAAAGTTCAGTTGATTAAGAAGAAGAGGATTAAAACAATCAAGACAATGAACAGCATTATAATAATTTGTCATAATCTCCGATTATTATAGATGAGGTTAAATAAATATTTAAATAAATGTTAGAGAGGGAACCTAAATGTGATTTAAATTCATTTACATTAAAATTCTTTTAAGATATCAGCATTGTATGTTAAGGAGAGATGTAAAAGATATTTTAAGTAATTTTGAAACCATATATTGCATATAGTAAAGGATTCATATTATTTATTATAAGAGATATAACCCATGTAAATTAAATAGCAGCCTTAGAAAAAACAAATTTTAACAAGTCATAAATGCTCTATAAAGTTGCTCATGAATTTAAAACACCTTTAAACATTATCATTTAGAGTGTTGGAAATGTTTTAAATCCTAATCATAATGCCAACGAATAATTAGAAAAATCAATGCAACCAATAAAATATATGGCTTCTTCATTATTAGGATTAGTTAATGATCTTTTAGATGTTGCATAATTGAAGGCTGGAAAATTTAATTTGTAGTTTTAGTAAGTGAAGATAACAGAGTTAATAAATGAAATAATTGAAATAATGAAGATATAGGCTAATTCGAAGGGATTATATATGAAATTGAAATAATAGCAAAATTTTCCTCAATGGATAGTAACAGATCCCAATAGAGTAAAACAAATAATATTAAATTTATTATCAAATGCAATAAAATTTACAGAAATTGGAGGAATAACTATTTATCTAGATTCAGATGAAGATTGTGTTTAGATTAAAGTATAAGATACAGGAATAGGGATTCCAAAAAATGAATAAAGCAAATTATTCACTGCTTTTGGTAGATTAGAGAATAGTGATAATATAACTGGTGTAGGTTTGGGTCTGATGATATCTAATATCTTGGCCTAAAAAATAGGTTAAGAAATCAAGGTTTTTTCAGATGGAGAGAATTAAGGGTCAACATTTTCTTTTAAGATTCAAAACAGAAAAGACATTGATGATAGTGTATGTATTTTATATGATGATGATAATGAAGGAATAATTAATTAGCTAAGAAATATCCCTTAAATGAACAAATATAATGAAATGATTTAATCCCCTAGTAATATAAGTATGTGTTAATGCATATAAATATTAATAGTAGATGATATGCCTTTTAATATTTAAATTGTTGAAAGTCAGCTCAAATAATATGATTTAATAATAGACAAAGTATTTAATATAAATTTAAAGTATTTTTAAGGCTTACTCTGTGAAAGAGGCAATTGCTAAAATTGAATCTTACAATGGATGTGACCTGCATACAACATATAAGTACATATTGATGGATATTGAAATGCCAATCATTAATGGTTATTAAGCTGTTTCTATGATTAGAGAACGAGTAGATACACATATCATTGCTTGTTCAGCTCATTCTAAAAATGAAATATCTTAGTTATCATTATTTGACGGCTATTTATAAAAGCCTATTAATGTTAATCAAATATTTCAACTACTTAAACATAATTGATTAAAAATCGATTTATCATATAATTATCAAATTTTATATTTATTTCAAACAATAAATTTACTATAATATATGTATTATTGTAAATTTTGAAAAATAAAAATACTTATTGTAATTATGTATTTCATTCCTAGATGTTCTTTTTATTATGAATTAAGTTGATAAAGTGAATTATTTGATGATATCATTTCATTTTATCTAATTAAAATTTATTAATATAGTAAGTTCTAAAATCATTTTAATAAATTCTATTCATTTTAAATTGGGTTTATAAATTATGGTAAAATTATAGAAATAAAATAGGAAATCATTCATTTCTTTAAATGATAGAATCAGCAACCTCTTTCAAATGTCTTAAGTCTTCTGAAGTTCTTCTATCTTTTTCCCAATTTTTCAATTTATTTTTCATCTTTCTTACATCCTTTTTCATTTAGATAATTTTTTATTCAAATTCAGGAGGAAATTCATATTTACTTTCATCCTAAGAATTGATTACTTCTTTAATTTTTTAATTGCCATCTAAGATTTCTTTAATATATTATTTGAATAATAAAGCTGGCAATTTAATATCACTTTTTCTAATCTCTCCATTATTATATAGCTTCTGCTTCTCAAGTAATTGTTTATACAATTTCAATTTTTCTGAATTCTGATGTTAAATGTTTTTGTTAAATAAATCACTATGTTAACTATCCTATTTAACAACCCTGATCTTTATTGGAGATCTCTAAGTATTTATTTTTACATTTTCTTGGTTTGTGATTTACATTTAAAAGTTAATATCATCCTAATTCATATTAATCTATTATATTGATTCATCTTAATTGATTTAAAGTCTATCAGTATAAGCTTATACTAATTTTAATTTATTATCAACATTTGAAAAACTTCTCTGTTTACCTTATATAATCATTAGAATTACTTAATGAAACATCATTAGAGATCAGAAATTTTTTAGTTGGACTCTTTATTTTGACTTGTGAGTTTTACTTCCACATTTCTTTATTTTAATTAACTGCTCCACATGAAGTTTTCCTTTCAGTTCTTTCTGGTGATATTGATTATAATTTTGTCACTAATCTATTCATGCTATCTCTTTCTTTAATAAATGGAACAAACTTTTACACTAACTATTTAGTACTGCTACCATTTCCTTTATAAATTTAATATTTTACTAAGACATTCTTGATTAACTGATTGTTATATTGCTTATAATCCTCCTTAAGTAATGTTGGAACTATATGATATATATCTGGGTCTCAACATTTATTAAAATTTCTCTTTTATTTTAATAAATAAAATAATTTTATTATTTATGAGCTATCCTTGTTTATTACCAGAAGACGGTCAACCTCTTTAAATATAATCAAAAGTATTTATTGTTGGCAGATTAGATAAGTGTCATCTTAAAATTGATGTAAATTTTATTATTTTATATTAAAGCATCCTTCCATTTCAAAACAACATTGTGAAATCTTGGTTTAAGATAAAATCTTAATTGTAGACAAATAATCATTAAATGGAACATTTGTAAATGGTGTTAATGTAGGAAAAGGCCAATAATTTGAAATTTTTAGTGGAGATATTATATAATTCGGAAAATATCCAATACTTTATACATTTTATAGTGACACAAAGATGGCTTATAAATAAAAAAAACCAAACCAACCAGTTAAAGATATGAAAATCTCTGTTGTTGATTTTGTTAAATAAAAAAATTTAGAATTTCAATAATAGTAAACACCAATTATTTAACAATAATCTTCTTAATAAATTCCATTTCAATTAAAATAATATAGTCCAGATTCTATCATTATGGCAGAGAAACAGAAAATAGATGAAACAACTTAAGATCTTATTAAAAATAAAAATATTGAAACAGCCTAATAAATTATTTCATAATTAGAAAGAGAGAATAATGATTTAAGAACATAAGTTTTGTAATAATAGGCTGATTATGATAAAAAATCTCAGGCATTTCTTGATTTGTAATTTAGATATGAGAAATTATCAAGTGAATTCAATAACATTTAGGTATATTATTAAAAATTTAATCAAAATAGACTAAATATTAGTCAGTTGAGCCATTTACAAAGGATTTATAAACAAAATTAGAGTTATGTCGTAAAGAAAATGAACTCCGATTAGCAGAAATAGAAGAATATAAGATAACAGATATAGGTAAGAAAATAGCAATATAAAATGTAATTAATATATAATATATTAAAGGCTGAAATTTAATAATTAAGAAAAATTCTATAGTTGAAAGATGAAGAAATACAAGGATAAAAAAAGCAAATAACTTAATTATTATCTAATGTTTCGGGAAAGTAATATTTTAATATTATTTTATAGTCCATAACATCATATATAAATGCTTGAATAGAATTCAAGAGAACTTACTTAATTGAAAAAATAATTAATTGAATGGGAAGGTAGAGATAATGAATGCAGTAGAAAATGGACTCAATTATTATAAGACAATGCTAGAAAAGAAGAATAAATTAGAGCTCTAAAATATTAAATTGATCGATTAACACAAAATATTTAATCTCTTCATCAAGAGTTTGATCAGAAAAACCATGAATTAAATAAAAGAATACTTTAAATTATTGATGCTTAAGGTGATTAACAATAAAGAGAAGCTGCAACATTTCTAGTTTAATAAATTTCTTTAATTTCTGAAGAAAGAAGAGTATATTTAGCTGAAGTAGAAGAATTATACAAATCAAGACAAGAAATCATTACAGAATTAGAACTCTTAAAGAAAGAAGAATACATTATTCCTGATGGAACTAATGTTACTTCTTTAATTAAAGCCTTAAGATAAAGAGTTGAAGAATTAAATGATATATTAAATGAATACAAATAAAGAGGTGATAATTATTTATTTATTTATTTATAGATAGTTTTGATTAATTAGTGATTCAAAAGCAGTTAATAGAAGAATTAGAATAAAAATTAAATTTCGCAGATAAAAAAAGTAAGCAGTTAGAATTGCAATTATTTTAATTAAAAAATATTTCACCTTAGTATTAAGCTGAAACTCAATTTGAATTCTTTACTAAGAGAATTAATGAGTTAACTGCTTAAATTAAAGATTAATAAAAAAAAATTAATTAATTAGAAGGAGTTGACTAATAGAAAGAGTTATAAATTTAAAATATGAAGTATCAATTAAATACAATTAAATTAAATGATTAATAGATCATAAATCCTATTCTTTAAAATGAATTTAAAAATGAAAGAATAGGGAATGAATTTGATACTTGATTTGATGATTTTATTCATAAATTTATTATTATATTAATAAATATATAAGTAATGAAAAATCATTAATAATAGTTCACATTAGTAGAGTCTCTTAATAATTAAAAAAAGAAAAAACTATTAAAGGAAAGTTCAATAATAAAATCAAATAAAGAATAATTAAAGAAAAATAATAATACATTGTAAAATAAATAGGAATAAGCAAAATAGGGAGAGAATTACTATAATTTTTTGATTGAAGAAAAGAAGATACAGAGATAACAACTTTAATCATAGGGATTAATGTTTTCAGATTAAAATTTGGGATTGTATATAGCTAATGAAAAATAATCAATCAACTATGGAGTTATGAGTAGAAAGAGAAGGAATATCAAAAACATTGATTCAAATTTAGTTTTTCAGAAGACATCAAGCAAGAATGAAAGTTCTGTTGAAAATGATAGTATAAGTAAGATATAAAAATTGAAGGAAAAGATGAATTTAGTTAATGAATCATAACTACTAGTTCAAGATAACGATATAATGTCCTCTTTATAAATTAAACCTATATAAAGTAATTTCACCAATTTATATTCCCCTATAAAATTTCCTTTGAAATAGAAATCAACATCATAATATATAAAGAAAAATGAAGAAGGCTTGCTACAATCTCCTATTGACAATTATATTTTAAAAAAGTTAGAAAAAATAGCTGAAGGAAATAAAGAATAGTAGCCAATTTAATAATTTTCTCCTGAAAGAGTACTTTTTCAAAATAAATTAGGCATAAATAAGAAAAATTAAAAAACTTTTACCAATTCAATCATTGACTAGATAAAAATATTCTTTTTTTGGTGAAATGAATTAATAGAGAAATTCAGTAGACTTTTAATCTGAACAATGTCGAGATAATGTAAATAATTTATATAATTATAAATTTAGAATTCTTTAGATTATATTAAATAATAATCTAATTAATAATTGTCATAGATTTATAATTAATTAAAATAATTAAGTTCAAATAGATACTAAAGTATAAAAAGTATTGACATATTTTGATAAAATTATCTACTATTAATAATATTTTATAATATTAATATATAAAACGTATAATATTTAATTTTTTTATCAAAATTAACAATTTAAAATGGAAAGAAAACCTATAGGAGAGAAACTGAGCAACATAAGTGCATTAATTTAAAAATAGTAACCAACAAAAGAGTATTAATTTCTTTAATTTAGTTCTCAAGATGATTAAGATGAAATGAAACAATATAAAATGATTTTTCCTAACATGAATCAATAAGAGAGTTAGGAAAAAAGCTTAATAAAAGATTCTGACAAACTCTAATAAGTATAGTCCATAATTTAAGAATAAAAGCAATTTTAAAGGTATCAACAAAATCGAACTATTTTTAGTGATATTTCAAAAATTTTGAATAGATTAGGTAAGATATAGGAACAAAATCCTTAAGCAAACTCTAAAACAGCAAGCATTAATCAATAAATAAGTCCTTAAAGTCCTATTGAGTAAAGTTAAAACTAAACTCCTAATAACAGAATGACTTAAAGTGTATCAGTAATACCTAAGTAAAATACGCCTGTATAACCTCCTTAACCAATTCAATTATTTGTATAAAATAGTCCAATAAATGATCAATAATATAGGAATTTAAAAGAATAGAATGTAGATTTGTTAAGATAGATAGCATAATTGTAACCATTATAATAAGTTGTAAATGATGTAAGATATTAGTATAATTTTGAATAGCTACAACAATTGTTATAATAATCTAATGATAGAATTAGAGAGTAACAAAAATAAATAGATTTCTTGATGCAAGACAATATATAATTAAAGCAATAATTAATTCTAATTGAATAGGAAAAAATTAATAATAAAAGATAATTTGATGAAATAATGGCCAATAAATAATTGGCTTATTAAAGAGACTATTAAGCTATACGATTTCAAGCATAAGAAAATTTAAATACATTAGAATCTACTTGGAAATAGCAATATGTATTATTAAGAACAGAAAATGAGGCTATTATTAATAATTTGAATGCTAAATTAGATATAACATAAAAGGATAATCAAAGTTAATAAGAATTAATCAATAATCTTTTGGTTGCTAACAAAGAACTATAATAAAATTTATGTAAATTATTTTATCAATTTAGAAAGTAGAACAACTGATTTAAACTATTTTTAATAAAGTTTAGAATAAAAATAAAAGGAATTTGAATAATTATAATACAATTATAATAAATCTTTAGAGAAATATGAAACAAATACAAAATAAATGATAAATCAAAATTTAGAAAAATAAAAACATTATGAAAAAATGATAATTGAATTAAAATAACATAATGATATTTTAAGTTAATAGATTGTTGAATTAGATTAAACTCATAAATAATCAATTTCTAATCAATAATTACAGGTATAGCATCATATAAATGGAAAATTGGAAGAAGTTTAAAAAATGAGCATTGTTGAGAAGCAATAAATTTAATAGCTTTATGAAGAAAAATTAAATAAATTGAATCAGGATGTAATATATAATATATATAAAATAGAAAGATTCCTAAATAAATAAATAATAATAATAAATCATGTATTTAGAATAAAAATTAGCAATATTAGTTTAAGAAAATAAAACATTAGTAGATTAATTAAATAAAGTAAAATAAAAAGCAGAGAATCTTGAATAAGCTTTAGTCACATAAGAAGCAGCTTATTAAAATTTAACAAAAGATTCATAATATAAAACTTTGTCATTAACCAAATAAATTTAAGATTTAAATTCAATGATTGGAAATCCAAATTAAAATAATAATAATCAACAAAATAGTACAAGAAGATCGGAAGCAACTGAGTCAACTGATAAAATTTAATAATTAGAGTAATAATTAGCTTATAAAAAAGAAGAAATGGATTTACTTTTACATCATTTAGATTAGGTATTTGAAATAAATAGAGATTTTGAAAATAAAATAAAAACCTTATAAGCATAACTTGAATTAATGGAAGAAAAGAGTAATAGAGAATAAGATTAGCATAATAATCTAATAAAATAACTAAAACAATAAAATGAAGATTTAAAATAAAAATTTGAAGTCAATATTTAAATAGAATCTTAAAAAGATTAATAAATTAAAGAATTATAATAATAATTGTTAGAGGAGGAATTTTTAAAAAGAAAATAATATGATTAAATTACATAAAATGAGAAACAATAATTTTTAGAAGTATGTATAGAAAAATATTAATTAGCAAATAAAGTAATTGAAGATAAAAAATGTTGAATTGATAAACTAAAATGAGATTTTGGAGTAAAAAGAAAAAGAGTTGAAGGAATAATATGATCAAGCCATAAGAGAATAAAAAGATTAATAATAAGTATTTTATTTTATAATAAAAAAGCGTTTTGAAGAATAAAAACTTGTTATTGAATAATAAATTTAAGTATTTTAAAAATAAAATTAAGAACAATAATCTATTAGTAACTAATTAAAAAGAGATTTTAGAAATACTGAAACAGATAAAAGAGTTGTTGATAAAGATCATCAAATTAAAACTCTAGAATAAAAGCTAAAAGAGTATGAAAAGAAATTTAAAGAATATGAATTAAAATAAAGAACTATTGATGAGATTTAGAACTAAAATAATTAAATGATTTAGCATTATGAGATTAAAATAAAGGAATTAGAATTGAGAATAGGTACATATGATGATCAAATAAAAATAAATAATAAATAAGCTTCTATTTAATTAGCAAAAATTAAGAATTTAGAATCTTAGTTATTGACTTGTGAAGATGATATTCAAAGATTAAGTGATATTAATTAAAATTTGGAAAGCCATATTGCAAAGTCAAATAGTATGAAGACTAATTCTTAATCAAATAATTAAGCAGAATTATAAAAATTATAAGATGAGAATTTGAAAATATAGGAATAGATAAACTAAATAAAAAAAGAAAAAATAAAAAGTGTTTAAAATTACGAAAATTAAATAAGTTAATTACAAAAACAGAATTAGACTAATATTGATCAAATCAATTGTATGAAAAATGAAAACTAATAAGTTTCAGATAATTATTGTAATAAAATAATATCCCTTGAATAGAATATTTAAGAATTATAAAACTAGATTAAAAAATTGAAAAATGAAAATTCTGAATTGAAAATTTAATTTGATGATTTAACTGAATAAAATAAAGTACTTTAAGAATAAGTAGCAAAATTAAAGAAAGAGAAAGCTTAAATGACAATGAAATTAATGCATTCTGGGATAGCTAATCTTGTTAATAGTTAAGTAAGTTAAGTTCAAGATAAAAATCAATGAAGTTTAATATTGAAGAATAGTTTGGTATTATAATGATATAAAGAGAATTCTAAAAAAAATATTATCATCAATTTTTAAATTAGTTTAATTAAGTAATGTATAGTAATTCTGGTATTAATTTTCTCATGAAGGTTTCCTTCTTAAAAATATATAATTCTGCATTACAATTTTAGATAAATCTAGTTTATGAAGACACTCTTATATGTTTTACATTTTTTATGTTATGAGCAAGTTTATTATGATTTTAAATTAAGTCAAATTATTTAGGAGTGGTATTCGTTAAAGATCTTCTTGCAACACTATTAAGAATAAACATTATATTTATACTGATATTAAGATTATAAATCAAGAAGCCTTTTAGATTTACTTTTAAGTCTATCAATACAGCTAATTGAATTTTCTGAAGACAAACATGAAGAATTTTCAATTGATTTATTATTCAATATATTTTCCATATTTCCTATAGTAGCTTTTGATTATCTAGGTGCAATTGTTTAATTTTTAAGTCTTTTTTACGTTTATCTAAATTAGGATCGCTATTTTTTCTTTTCTTCTATTTCAGATAAAATCAAATCTGCAAAGAAATTAATATTTTTTGCAACATTACTAACATTAAATTCATTGAAAAATTCAGTATATTCTTTTTATAAGTCAATATCACAAGCGATTTTAACATCTTCAATAATGTAATCATGCTATAAACTTTTTATTTGTTTTTCACATCTACTTTAATTTATTTAATATTTTAGAGCTGATTCTTAAATTTTGACTAAATTAAATTTGATTTTTTTTAGATTTTTTCTAACTTAACTTATTCTACTATTTTCATGACTTAAATATTCCATTATTAGATTTTTTCTGCTTACTCTGTAATGAAAAACAGTACAATTTTTGGCTATATGATGAGGTCTATCACAAATATAACACCTTAATTTTAATGGTTTAAGATTATTCTCTACTTCAAGACAGTCTTTCATAAAATAAAGTTTTAATAAATCACTTTCAAGAGGTTTAGCAGCATCCCATAAATCTGTTCTTTTCAAACTCATTACATTAACAAAATCAATTGTTTTTGCTGAGGCATTTCTAGGTTTTCTACCAAAAAACCCTATTTCACCAAAATAATCTCCTTTTTATAATGTTTTTAGTAGTGTTTCTCTTTAAGTGATACAAATATTGATTTAACCATTTTATATAAAATAAACCTTATCATTATCAAATGAATTTTCTTTGAAAACATATTCTTCTGGTCCTAAAATTTATTCATTCAAAACATAAACAAGTTTATTAATAAGTTAAGGAGTAAATTCTTTACTAAATAGTTATACTTTATGAAGAATTCTTCCATTTAATAAACAAACAATCTCAGTTTTCAAATTTGCTGATAAACTTTTTAATACTTATTATTCATAATTTCTAGCTATTTATGCTGATCCTGCTAACCATTCTAAATAATTTTTAACTCTACTTTATAATTCTTTTGGTATACTTTTTTATTTTATATATCTAAATTAAAATTGAATATTTACCTAACTATTTTAGAATTTTAAATTCTTTACTCTTAGATTTTTTCATCCTCTCCTTCTATTATTTACATAAAACTAGACATACTGTAACCAAATATTGCAGATGCCAAAACCATTGCAAATACAGCAAATATCATTTCTGTTTGTGTATTTGCATTTATATCTCCATATCCAACTGTTATCATTGTAGTTACACTAAAATAAAATGCAGAAATATATTTAATTTCCCATTCTGCTTCATCTATTCCATATTTATGCATCCATGTTAAATGAACCTATTCATCTGTATATTCAATAATATTCCATATACAAGCTATCCAATGAGCAATACTTAATATTAAACATGCTATCTTTAAAAATTAAATTATTTCCTAAAAAGTTTAAGCTAAAGAAAATGATTCTAAATTAATTTTTATTAATAAATTTTACCTTCTAATTTTTCAAGTATTTTACTTATTTTAAGAACTCTTAACAATCTTATAATTTTTATAAATTTAAACAATCTAACTATTTTTATTAATTAAGCTTAAGAATCATCTGCTGTAAAAATATCATCATATGGTAGAACTGCCAAAAAATCTAGCCAAAACCATAACTTTAAATAATTTAAGGCAATTTTCTTTCTATCAAAAATAATTTCACCTCTAAAATACATAGACTAGTGTACTTAAAATAATAAGCAAATTTAAAATTCAAAGTCATGTCTATATAAAAAAAAACATCCATCAATTAATTGAAAATCTAAAATCCTGGACTTAATTCAACTGAATATGTCAATACTAGAGGTATTTGAATCATTTAAACAAAAATGAATATCATGCTAATCAATTCCCACAAAAGTCTAAATGTTGAATTTGGATTGGAAACTTTAGGTAAATTTATTATGAATTATTTAAGTTTTTTCCAAAGAGATATTTTTGATAAATCTATGCTTTATCTCTCTTATAGATAATATATAATATCCCTTGCATCTTTATCATTTACACTTATGATTGTAATTAATTATCTTTGTTACTAAATTTGGACTTTTGTAATGTCTTAAGCCTTGTCTTAAAATAATTAATCACATACCTACCCAAATATTCTAAGTTTTATTCTTAAATGACCTAAGTCATACGCTTTAATAAAAAATAATATAAACTTTATTTAATTAAATATTTTTAATGAATCTATTTAGAAAAGCAGTCTCTGGATTAATCATTAAGGATTAGAGTCTTCTACTAATAAAAAGAGAAAAGGCACCATATAAAAATAAATGGACTCTTCCTGGAGGTAAAATTGAAATAAATGAATCTATTGATGATGCAATCAAAAGAGAAATATTAGAAGAAGTTGGTTTACTAGTTGAAGTACAAGGACCAACAATTATTTAAGTTATTTAATCACATGTAAAATAATTTATTTAATTTAAGGATTTCATTGTTTATACAAAACGTTGTTAAATTATAAGTGAGTTTTCCCCTAAAGAATCACTTTAGTATTAATATTATCCAATCAAAGACTTTTTATTAATGGAAAAAAGAAAATTAACTCCGAATTTATAAATTATATGCCAGACCTTACTTGATTATAAATAATGAATTGAATAAATTAATTTAACTAAAATAAATAGTTAGTTATCAAATTAAGGATGTTATAATTTAGCCTGATATTCTTTCTTTTTTTTCTAAAGTTATTTTCACAGCTTCATTATATTTCATTAAAATTTAATTGATTAATTATTAGCTACTACAGTTATTTTAATTTACTGATAAATATTAAACAATAATTTTAAAATTCCAACTTGCAAACATAGTAGCCTACTTTGCAACCTTTAATTTATTTATTTTAGTTCTAATTAAGTATAAACAAAGCTCATACATAAATAAATTAGATCTATATAAAAATTAAATACAATTTATTTAATGTAAGATATATGCTATACTTAAATTATTCTATCCTTTTTAATTATTAATTCATTAAATATGGATATTCATTTTAAGCAAGAGAATATAATTCATTTTTATGAGTTTATTTAAATTAATAGTTGAAATTATAATTTTTATATCAATTTACATGAAGGTACAATATAATATTTTGTTCATAATGAAATTAAAGCATATGATAAAGCAGCTGAAATAAATTCTATTGGTTTGGTCAAATTAATTTTTGAAAATCCAATCTTAATTTCAAAAAATATGGATGAGGGCATGTATAAATACAATCCTTAAGACATCAATTTCATTAGATTTTCAAGATTCCAAAAAAGTATTAATTATGAATATTTTAATACTTTAATCGATTGATTTGGTATTGTAATTTCAAAGTTTTAGAAATTCTAACTTTATTCTTGCCACTTTTTTACATTCTTAAACAATTTAAGAAATGGTTTATAAAAGTTGGATATATTGCATAAATTAAGAATAATTATTCCATTTGAATTTCTCATTTATAGTGTAATTTAAGTGTATTCATTTAATTTTAAGAACATCTGATAAATTTTTAATAAAGTGGGGATCTAAAACAATCCTAATTTAATTGATAGATTTCAAATAAAAATAAAAAAAATTTGATAAAAGAATAATGTAATTTAGGAAATAGAAATTTAGATTAATCTATAAAAAATTATGAAAAAAAATATAGGATACCAATAAATTTTTTTGGATAAGAAAGAATTATAAGAAATTCATAACTTAAAAATTATTAGTTATTACATATCCCACTTTTGGATTAGAAAATGACATAATTCTTTATAGATTTTATAATTTTTTTTCTAATTCCCTTTAATTGTTATTTTTGTTAGTCTATGAATGTTCATTTGTATTAATTTCTAAGAAATTCTTTAAGAAATAAAAAAAATTTGAAATGATTAAAAAAATTATGTTGATTATACGATATTTATAATTAATATATTTATATATAATTAGTTTGAACCAAAAAAATAAATGAATTATTTTAATTATGATTCCGCCAATTTCAATGTCATAGAGTTTAAAAAGTAAGTCACACTCTTAATTGATTGATGATGAATCAGATCTAAGTAATAAAAGAAAGTTACAAGAGATTGAAATTGATAATTAATTATGCAATTAATAATAACTAATAACACTAGGGAATACTGAAATATACTTTCCTCACAAACCTTATGATGTTTAAATAAATTATATGAAAAGTGTGGTTTAAACATTAGATGGAAAATTTAATGCATTGTATATTTACATTTTTGATTTTCAAATTTAGATTAGAATCTCCAACTGGAACAGGAAAGACCTTATCTTTATTATGTGCATCTTTAGGATGGTTATAGAAACACCGAAAAGAATAATAGAAAAGTAATAACCCAATTAAATTAAGAATTATTTATGCTTCAAGAACACATGCATAATTAAAGTAGGTTGCTTAAGAATTAAAGAAAACTATTTATAAACCTAATGTATCTATGTTAGGATCGAGAGATTAATATTGTTTAAGAGGAGATTTTTATAACATTAAAGGAAATCTTTTAAATTAAAATTGTAGGAAAGTAATAAAGGCAAATCAATGTCAATATTACAAAAAAGATATTGTAATGTTTATGGCATCATAATATAAAAATTTGATTAATAGTTTAGAAGAATCAAAATAATTTGGGTATAAAAATAAAGTATGTCCTTATTATTTTGAGAGATAAAGATTGGATGAAGCTGATTTAATACTTCTTCCATATAATTATTTATTAGAAAAAGAATTTTAAGATTATATAACAATTGATAATTCAATATTGATATTTGATGAAGCACATAATGTATAATCAACAGCTGAAGATGGATCTTCATTTTTTATAACATAAAATATAATTATAGAGGCTGAAAAAGATTTAGAAAAATGGATAGATGAGTTGGAGAGTGTACCATTATTTTATGAATAATTAAAAGTCAAACTTAATTAGTCAAAACTTTGTAATGAATTAAAAGAATATAGAGCAATTTTAATAACAATAAGAACTTTTTCATAATATATTGAATAATTAAAATAATAGCCAATATTCACATTATAAGATACAAATGAAAAATATCAAATTTTAGATGCTAGATAAATTTAAGATTTAATTTTTTAATATACATCTGATTAAGATAATACATTTAGATTATGGACTGATTCAGTATTAACTAATTATGCAAAAGGAATAACAAGAAATAATATTGCTAGATATTTATCACATTGTATGATTTTAATAGATGTTATGGGAGAATTATCACAATATCCTGCTCATCATTTTGAATCATGGACTAAATTCATAATGAATGTATATGACTTAATCAGAATGGAAGATGAAAGAGAAAAATAAAAGTTATCTTTATCTTCATTACTTAATTAATTTAATTAATATAAACTATCATTCGTTATTGATGTTGCTAATTAATTATCTATATATATGTGGTGTTTAGAACCATCATTAGCATTCAAAAGAATACTTTAAAAAAATATTCATTCTGTTTTATTAACATCAGGCACATTATCACCTCTATAATCATGGACATGTGAATTAAGAATGAACTTTTAAACTTAATTTTAAAGTCCTCATATTGTTAACATTAAATCAAATCTTATAGTTTTTTAACATAAACAATTTGATTTCTCTTTTAATTAAAGAAATAATGATGAATAATTTAATAAATTAGGATAAAATCTATTAAACCTCTCTTATGTAATTCCAAATGGAGTTTTAGTTATATTTTCATCTTACAGTCTTATGTTTAAATGTAGAAGCAAATTGACAGCTAATAAAATATTATTTAGATTAAATGAAATCAAAAATTGTTTATGGGAACCATAATAGACTGCTGAAATGTAAAATGTTTTTTAATCATATAAATAACATGCAAAGAAAGGAGCAATTATGTTTGCAGTTTAAAGAGGGAAGATAGCTGAAGGAATTGATTTCTCTGATGAATTATGTAGAGCAGTATTTTTAGTAGGAGTTCCTTATCCACCTAAATAGGAAAATAAAGTATTATAGAAAATGGAATATCTAGAAAAAATATATAATGATCCTGAATTTAATGATCAAGATAGATTAAGAAGCTAAGAGTGGTATTGTTAATAAGCTATTAGAGCCACTAATTAAGCTTTAGGTAGAGTTATTAGGCATATTAATGATTATGGGTATTTTATTATTATTATTAAGAATTGTCTTCTTATGTGATAGGAGATTTGAAAATAAGGATATTAAAAAAGGATTATCTGAATGGGTTAAACCTGCTATTTAACCTTGGATTAATGATGATGATATACTTAAATAAACTAAAGCTTTTTATAATCGTACTGAAAGTGCATTTTAAACACCTGATAATAAGAATATGACTGAAGAAAAGATGAATTCATAATCTGAAGTCAAGAAAAGAAATCTTAAGCTTTTCGGTCTTAAATGCTAAAGGTAATTAGAAAAACTTAAATCTGATTCTTTATATGATGTTGATTAAAAAGAATATTCTGAATAAGTGATATAAATAGAATCAAAACTAATTACTGAATCTAAATAACCTATTGAATAACAAGAAATTATTAATAATAATAATGGTGGTGGTAATGATAATAATAATAATAATAATAATAATAATAATAATAATAATAATAATAATAATAATAATAATAATAATAATAATAATAATAATAATAATAATAATAATAATAATAATAATAATAATAATAATAATAATAATAATAATAATAATAATAATAATAATAATAATAATAATAATAATAATAATAATAATAATAATAATAATAATAATAATAATAATAATAATAATAATAATAATAATAATAATAATAATAATAATAATAATAATAATAATAATAATAATAATAATAATAATAATAATAATAATAATAATAATAATAATAATAATAATAATAATAATAATAATAATAATAATAATAATAATAATAATAATAATAATAATAATAATAATAATAATAATAATAATAATAATAATAATAATAATAATAATAATAATAATAATAATAATAATAATAATAATAATAATAATAATAATAATAATAATAATAATAATAATAATAATAATAATAATAATAATAATAATAATAATAATAATAATAATAATAATAATAATAATAATAATAATAATAATAATAATAATAATAATAATAATAATAATAATAATAATAATAATAATAATAATAATAATAATAATAGTAATAATTATAATTAATCATAGAGCAAATGTAATATTATAATTAAAATTTAAAATAAAACATCATCAATAAATGATCAATAAAATTACTCCACATTAATGTAGCAAAGTTCAAACTAAATTAAAAATACAGAGTAAAATAAGGATTAATTCAATTATTTTACTTATTAGAATGATTTATTTTCATCTAACAAACAACCTACACAATAATCAGAAAGAAAAGGAATTATAAAAATCAAATCCAAAAAATGAATCCACATATAACTTATTTTTTAAATATATATACATAAAACATAAATTTTTTTTGAAACTCTCTATTTTTTTTCATTTATAAAACAAATCACTTTTAATTTTATAAGAATAAGCTTTGATATTAATAATGAAGTAAGTAAATATATGTCAAAAAAATTTTGGTCTTCTCTACAAATAATTATTTGAGATAATTATAACTTTCTTATCTTATTTTTGAGTAATTTTCTTTTTATGAAAGATTATATTAAAAAGGAGATTTAAGATATATTCCAATTCCAATTTCTGATTTTATTATAACTTTTCTTTTTCAATCCTTAAGAAACTTTTTATATCTGTGTCAAAATAAACTTGAGTTTATTATTTTTTCATTACAAATTCATCATTAAAATAAAATAAAAATGTCATAAATTTGATTCTATAAATTTTTAATAAGTAATTAAATTCCTTTATATTCCCAATCCAATCCTAATTAACTACAATAAAAGTTGAATCTGGCTCAAAAATTTTAATTAATTAAGAATCCCAGTTTTTATCTACAATATTTATTTACTTTTAAACAATAAAAATAAAACTAAATTTTGTAAATTATAATAATCACTATTAATTTTCTTCATTTAATTTTTTTTTTTCTTTAATACAAAAAATTGCTCAAAAGCTTAAATAGTCAAGATCAAAAGGATCTTCACAAATATTTGATGTATTTCTTCTACAATATAAATTTGAGAAATTTGTTGTAGAGTTTGTATGATACTTCTATATTTTTAGTTATTATGTCAATTTTTGGATAGCAATCTAAAAATATTTTTTAATATTCTATAATTTATAATTTTTTCATTTCTTATTCAATAACTCCAATTTTAAACCAATTATTTTACTATACAATATTTTTTTAAAAAATCTTTATGTTGTAAGAATATGAATAAAGAACTTTATTACTTTTCTAATTTAAATGGCAATTATCTTGATAACATTGGATATATTATACAACTAACACTTTATATGTCAAGTATTTAACTTTTTATTAATAAAATATATAATTGTATTCTTCTCCTTTAAATATTCTGGAGCTTAATAAATACTTCAATCCTTCTGGTCTAATTTTTAATGAATAAAAATAATTTTTTTGGTAGCTTACATTTTTACTTATACATTCGTTCTAGATCTTGATTTTAATTAAAAATAAATGAATTATGAATTTAATAGATTAATGTATCTTGAAAATAAAATTTAAGTGAGTAATGAATTATTGGAAGATTTGATGAATGAAAGAAACAAGAATAATTATTAGTATATAATATATTAATATAAAATTTTATAAAATAAACTTTAGAGTGAAAAAAGGTTAATTTTCAGTCTCATGACCACTAAAGGCTGATTTTAAGAAAATGATAATGATTAATAAAAATGAAAAACAATTCGGTGAAGTTCAAACATAATGTACCAAAATCCTCAACAACTTCTATAATTTCAGAATTTTCATGTGATGAATCTCCATTGCCTAATGCGATTTAGTATTAAAGCTTTACTCATGCTTAAACAATATCAGCAAAATTAAATAAAACATCTATATACAATCAGCAAAATATAATATTTAACACTCCGAGATGTTTGGCTGTTCCTTATAAGGAAATAGTAACTATATTCATAAATTAATTCTAGGAAAAAGATGAAGTATTATCAAAGACTCCTGTAAATAAAGGATATTAGACTAGTAATAGAGTTGGAACATGTTATGTTGAACCTGTAACATTTTCTGATGCACTCATTAAGTAATCTAAATACACAGAAGAAAGTTTAAAAAGAATCTCAAAACTTGAAAAATTTTTAGAAAAAGTAAAATAAAATCATTAAAAATCATTTAATATATTATCAAGTGAGGAAACTCCAAAAAAATTACAAAATGAACATTTTATAAAAGGTTTGGTAGATAGAAATTAAGATTAATATAAATAATTAAAATTAGATGCTAAAACAAATAAAAAATTAAATCAATTAATGGACGATTTAAGAATAATTAGAAAAGTAAATAAATAATATATAAAATTAGAATATTTAATATTTTTCAGCATTTGATGGTTCATATTCTTAATGTAGATAAGATCTTAATAATTTTGTAGCTTTAAAATAGTAGAATGGTATATTAATAAATAATGGGAATCACTTATCTAGAATAGAATTAATAAATGATACTTTTAAAACAGAAAGAATTTGTGATATTCCTGAGTATGATTCTAGATATCTTTCATTTTGTATTTGTGATAAGAATTTTTCAGATGAAATGATTATTACAGGTACTGATAAAGGAAATGTTATGGGATGGAACTATTTTAAAAATCAAGTTTATCATTATTATGGATTAAATAATTAATATAATTGTAATTTACAATAACATTCTTAACCAATATTTATCAGATAAGAGAAATAAAATATCTTTGTTGGTACTAAAAATAATGTAATTATGAAATTTAATTTAGGAATTATTAATCCTTGACGAAAGAATGTATGAAAGAAAATGTTTGTCAGTAACATTATAAAAGTAAAATAATAAGTTTTTGAGGGCTAATTCAATTTAATCTCCTATGTTACCTAGATTTGGAAATAGTATAATTGAAAGTCCTTTAGCAAAACCATTGGATCCAAATTTATTTGATGAAACAAATTTTAAATTAGATGAAGAATAAGATTCTATAAAAGGAGATATGGAAGAAGAATTTCCAACTTTTAAATAATTGGATGATTTATGTTTTGAAGAAATTTAAAAGATAAAATATATTGATGTGAATGAACATAATGTATTAGTTACTATGATGAATGGTTTTATTCACTTAGATATTAGAAGTCCTACTATTGAATAGTTTAATTATCAATAGAAAAGTGATAATTCATTAAAAGCTTTATTCAGTCCTTGTAATGCTAATAACATTATATATTCAAGTTTAAATTCAAATTAATGTGTATTATGGAATGCATAAAAAAATGAAGTACTATTTCATAAGGAATTGTAAAGCAACCCTATAGATATGATAATATCTGAATAAACAAAAGAAATATTATTCCTTCATTAAGATAACCATGATTCTTTAGTAAAAATTTATAATAATTCATAATCAAAATTAAGATATAGTGATGAATTATATGTTCCTAATTTTAACATTTAAAAGATTGTTTTAGATAAATAAAATTAGAATCTGTATGGTATAGGACCATATTCATTGAGAACTTGGAATTATTATTAATAAAAAGAAATTGATTTAATTTAAGAGGAAATGAGACATTAATTATAATGTTTATTTTGATTTAACTTAAAGAAATTTGTTAATTATTAAATAATTTATCAAAACTGATTTCAAACTAAAGAAAAATCGATGAGCTATTCTTATTTCAAAATTCCCTTTGTTAATTAAAGTTTAGAATTCTATGCAAAAATACCTGGCCAATAAGATGCAGCACATCTATTTGCATCTATGATACCCATCTTCTTATAACTAAATTGAAAGATCAAAGTACGCTGCTGCTATAAGTTCTGAACAAAAAAATGTCTTATCATCTTTTTCAAGATCATCAATAGATTCATTAGATTTAGTAAATCTTTTAATTAATTTACTTGGAGACATCTAGTATTTCTTGCCAAGTGATCCCTTATTTTAAAATAAATATAAAACCTTGACAAATTATTCTAGTTTTTCAAGAAGTGAATTTTATCTATTTACTTCTAATTATCTATATACCATTTATTAATATAATGTATGCCAATTATTTCTCATAAAAGTATCCCAACTCAATAGACTAACACCCTAGAGTTCAATAATTAAAATTTACTGTTTATCCCATTGATTCAAATAAAAATAATTCTCCATTATTGTATCTAAGTAATAAGGCTACATGATCAAAGTTGTCACCAGTAAAGGCTCTTTAGATTTTACTTAATGGAGATTGTCCTCTAAGATGAATCAACTTGAATACTCACCTAAACAATAGAATATCACCAGTATCTGCCTTCTTTCTAAAATAAGTTTCAGATATTCTCTCAAATCTCCACATTGATTCATGATTCAATAATGTCATCTTTGGATAAAATTCAGTCATTAATATATGTTATTAGATACAACGATACCAATCTTTTAAATCATTTCTTTCTGTACTCTTAAATTAAAATATCTTTTTAATTCCTTTTAATTCCAATCTTTTCATTAATTATTACATTAAATACCTTATTTCACTAATTTCATTATTCTTCATTATTGGACTTATAGTTACTGATATCAAATGAAAATCTATGCATCCTTTGAATTTGTCTAAACCCTTAAAATATTACATTTTTCCATCTTGAATCTTAACGTATCGTTTCTATTTAAATAATAATTAATTTCATATCTTACTTGCCATCCAACTAATAATTTTGGACTCTTTTTCATTAGCCATCCTTCTTTATTATACATTTCTTATTAATCTACCCCTTTTATTTAATTATTTGCTGAAATTGAGTATTACAATTTCTTTTCCAAAGTGCTTTCCTATCTAACATATTGTTAGTATTGTTGTTCTTCATCTTACACTATTTCAGATATGTCTATTGTTGAAGGAGTCTAATTCATCATTACAATTTATTAAATTCAATATTTATATATATTTATATTTTGTCATCTTCATATATGAATATATATATATACAATAAATAAAAATAACGAAATAGTTATATTATAAATAATAACTAAATCAAATATGCTACAAATCAATATAGACATACAAACTGTTTATTTTTTTATTGATTCTGACAATGATTATTGCAACATGTAACTTAGTAATTGTAATTATATTCCAAATTTATAATAGCTATTACAACTATCTTTTTACATAATTAATTAAGATGTAAATGTTATGAACAACAAGACGTTTATGAAAAAGTAGAAATCATCGTCCCTTATGATTAAAGAAACAAAAACAAAGTATATTTTACTTAATAACTAAAGCTTAAACTTATTTTTTATGAAAATAACTTAAAATTTGGAGAAGCAATCTTTAATATTGATTTCTATATTGAACATAATTTATCACAAATTTCTGATAGACTATCAATTTTATGCGATCAAAATGAAGAAGCATAATTAACTTTTATTTTTGCATGGTAACTAATTGAAATTAAACATGAACCAGATTTATAAATTTTAGATAATTGTTAGACTTCTAACAGTCCTTAAAGTAAAGAAATCTCATAAAGAAATGCTTGTTAAAGTCCAAAGAAATAAGAAAAATCTAAAAAGAGTAGTGATGATAATAGAATTACTCATTAATCATATATTAAATGGAAAGATCATAAAGAATAATTAAAATTTTAATAAGAAAATAGATAGAAGGAATCAAAACCATAATCTAAAATAGTATTTTCTGATGATTATGTTTGGACAAATTAATTAAGAAAACCTGATTAATATGTTAGAATTGGATCACCTCTTAAAAGATTTGTTACTCCTCCTAAACAATTCAAAAAAATATATTGTCCTATTAATGAAAAACCTAGATAAACTGATCTAGATTTAAAAGATATAAATGATAAAATGATTGTTGTATAGAAATAAATATAATCTATGAATCAACAAAATAAAAAATAAGAGGATGATAAAATTAAGTTTAAATCTAAAATAGGATCAAAGTAAAAGTATTTTTAATAAGAAGAAATTAAAACTGAATCTGATGAAATTGTTAAATCATTTTCTGATAGAGGATGGATGTAAAAAATTACTAGTTCAAATAATGAAAATTAAGATTTGTTTTAATTATATACTTTTAATTAGCAATCAGACTAATAATAGCAACATACAAATTTTTAACCTTATGAAGAAATTTAGATATTGAAATAGGGATTACAATAAATTGAACATAAGTCAAAAAGTCCTCCTAAAACTAAAATTCATCAACAATAACCCCATCTATCACCAAAAAATAAAAGATAAAATTAAGATGACTATTATAAAAATATGAAAAAAAATTAAAATAGTCATTTCATTGGGGAAACATATGAATAATTTTTGAAAGATTATTTAGATTTATAAGATAAATTATAAGGCTCTTAAATTGAATTCTAATTATTATCACAAACTTATTAATAACTAAAAGAAGAGTACACTTAAGTAGTGTACCAAAATTAAAAATATTATTAGGAGATCCAAATTCTTTAGTAATAATTTTAATAGAAGTTTCATTCTATTGATTAGCATTAATAATAATAAAATAAATAATTAGCATAATAGTTATAAGCATAATAATAATCAAATTCTAATTAAAAATAATAATAATAGTATTAATAATAATAGTAATAGTAATAATACTAATAATAATAATAATAATACTAATAACAATAATAATAATAATACTAATAATAATAATAATAATAGTAATAGTAATAGTAATAGTAATAATACTAATAATAATAATAATAATAATAATAATAATAATAATAATAATAATAATAATAATAATAATAATAATAATAATAATAATAATAATAATAATAATAATAATAATAATAATAATAATAATAATAATAATAATAATAATAATAATAATAATAATAATAATAATAATAATAATAATAATAATAATAATAATAATAATAATAATAATAATAATAATAATAATAATAATAATAATAATAATAATAATAATAATAATAATAATAATAATAATAATAATAATAATAATAATAATAATAATAATAATAATAATAATAATAATAATAATAATAATAATAATAATAATAATAATAATAATAATAATAATAATAATAATAATAATAATAATAATAATAATAATAATAATAATAATAATAATAATAATAATAATAATAATAATAATAATAATAATAATAATAATAATAATAATAATAATAATAATAATAATAATAATAATAATAATAATAATAATAATAATAATAATAATAATAATAATAATAATAATAATAATAATAATAATAATAATAATAATAATAATAATAATAATAATAATAATAATAATAATAATAATAATAATAATAATAATAATAATAATAATAATAATAATAATAATAATAATAATAATAATAATAATAATAATAATAATAATAATAATAATAATAATAATAATAATAATAATAATAATAATAATAATCATATCAATAACCGCAATAAACTCAATTATAAGTTTCTTAATAGTAAAATTAATAAAATTAACATTTAAGCTAGCAGTTATCATTATTATAATAAAATATTGAATTCTTAAAAAAAGAAAATGAATAAATTTAAAAAGAAAATACTATGTTGAAATAAAACTATGAATAATGTTAATAAAATATAAATGCATTATAGAAAGAGAAGGAGAAAAATTAGTTAGAAATCTAAAATCAAAAAAACAACTTAAAGTTTAAAAATCAAGAATTAGAAAATTTATAAATGAAATTAGATTAAGCAAATAATTAAAAGTAGAATAATGATTCATCCACTTAATCTAATAAGGCAAAATTCGATCAAAGATAAGATATATAATAAATTACTTAGTTAAAAACATTGTTAGAAAATTCTGAACTATTTTCTTAACGTTTGAGAGAAGAATTAAATTAATAAAAATAAATCTAATTTTAATAAGAATAAGATAGGCTAAATTTGAAAAAATAAATAGAGAATCAAAATTAAATTATTGAATAATTAGAAAATGATATATAAAAGTTGAAAGAGGAATTAGAAGAAAAGAAATAGGAGATTATTAGAATAGAAGCTTTAAGTAACAAATAAAATGCAGGAGATGCAATTGAGGGTTTTAAATCAGTTATAAGAAACAAATAGCAAGAACTAAATAATAAAGATGAAGAAATAAGATAGTTAAAATAAAGAAATAAATAATTAGAGATTGAATAAAAAGAAGAATAAGAAAAAAGTTAAATAGTAATTTAACAGTTAAATCAGCATCTAATTTAAGTTTAAAATGAGTTTGATATGATATAAAAAGAGAATTAGAATTTAAAAGAATTGTTATAATAAGAACCTAAAGTTTAGGAATAATAATTTTTGTAAATAATTATTTAATTAAAAGTTAAGATTAATAGTAGAAGAATTCTAATTCATATTTATAAGAATTTAGTTTTAAGCCATCTATATATTAGGGTGAGAACTTTGAAAATTAAAAAGATATTTTACAATAAGAAGTCAATTAATTGAGATAGGATATCAATTAATTAAGTATAAAATAAATAAATTATTACTAGTAATTTAAAAATAAAAAGATGATGTTTTAATTAAGAGTTTAGGAGAGGAATTAGAAATATAGAAGGTAAAAAGAGTGATTTAATTAGAATATTGCTAGTTAATACGAAGAAGAGTCTTTACAATATTAAAATGATTTAAAAGTAACTAAAGAGTAGTTGATAACACAAAAATTAAGGGTTGCAGAAATATTAAATTCAATAATGAACAAAGGTGATGCTAGATTGATGGATGGGCTTGAAAAGTTGATATAAAATTAAGGATTAGTCTCTTTAAAATGATAATATTTTATATAAATTATATATATCAGATTTCATCTTGTTTTAATTATTCATATGAATTTTAAGTTAATTGTATTTAACCATCTAGAATATTATTTTATTGATTATCTAAGAAATAAATGTAAATTCCAAGTAATATAGTGATAAAAAGTAATATTGCGAGCATGATTACAGAAATGAAAAAGCTTGCAGTTTTAATTTTAATTAAGCTAATGGTAAGAGGTAAAATAGATAATAAGAAATTACAAGATGATAATAGATAAGCATAACCTTATCCTAGATTAGTCTCATCAATTACATAAACAATACTAGACCAAACACTAGCACACATTATAGCATAAGAAATTCCTAATAAATTAATAGCTAAAAAAGGTGCATAATACCAAATTTACATCAAACCTAAAAAACCAAGACATGATGCTCCAATATTCTATAATATATTTAATATAAATTTACAAATAAAGATCTATTCTTATATTTATCAATTAAATAACCAAAAAATGGAGTGAGAATAGAAGATATTCCCCACATTATGGCCATCATTTAACCTGTCTTTTCTTCTGCTTATTCATCATCTATATACCATCTTTCAGATAATATTCCTACTGAAAAATTACTAAAGGTCAATAAAGATCCAAAGAGTAACATATTATAGATTATAATTATCCAATATATAAAAGGGAAGTCCTCTTTTTGATTATTTTTATTAATAATCTCAGTATTTTATATTTCATTTTCTTGTTATACATTTTCTGCATTTATATCATATACAATAGTTATAATACAACATACAACACTCATTGCTATGGCAAAACTACCACTCTATATTGCAAATATCAAATTGTATTAAGATGCTAATTTTGGTGCTAAATACATCACACTAATAGTTCCAAAAGAAGCAAATAATTCACATAATCCAACAACTAATGCCTAATATTAATATTATTATACTAAATGATCAAATTTAAAATATTATGAGAGTAAACTAGTTTGAATAGCTCCACAAGGTTCAATTCCAATGCTTATAAGAATTCTACCAATTATAATGTAATATAAGTTATAATGTATGAAACCTTAGATGAACATGAATTATCCCAAAGATACTAGGAATAATAAAACAAATAACGCAATTCGATTACCATATTAATCTCTTAATTCTTAACTAATTTGATGATTATTTACTTCCACTAACAAAAGGAGTGAATATATTAACAAAGGAGGTGATACTAAATAACAATCCATAATAAAATTCAAATTAATTTTCAGACATTATTGGAATTAGATAAGTCTTAAATGAATTATATAATGATGTTGGAATATCATAATTGTAATAATTTCCCATGGGAATCCAGATACAAAATGTTAACATATTCCATCTATATTAGTAATTATATTTATTCATTTTGTAAATAATTAATAAAATATTAATTATAATAAAATAAATAAATGTTCATTTTTAATCATAATCAATATTTTATTTACAATTTTCTTCAATAGATGTTGCACTAATAACTTTATTGCCATCAATTAAATTTTCTTATTAGACATCTTCTATTTTAATTAAGACTGCTGTAATTAAAGAACAAAGTCCTAGAAATGATAAGAATAATTAAGAATAGTAATAGCTTCCATAATAAGCTCTTAAGATTCCAACAATAATAGGGAATATACTAAACAATGCATTATAAATTCCAACAACTACAGCATAAGCTTTACCTAAATAATCAGGTCTAACTAAATATACAACACCTGTCCATGGTGATGCATAAGCAATAGCATTAGCTGTTCCTAATGCAATTAAAGATAGAAATGGATAAATGTACCATAAAGTAATATGAGCAACAAAACATAGGATTCCTGCTATAATACACTTACATGATTAATAAATAATTTACATGAAATGCTCTTCCACCATATTTATCTGCTATAAATCCAAAAATAGGAGTAAAGAATCCAGTAATAAGCCACATAATTGCTACCATTTCTCCTGCTTTAAGTTCTGATTCTTCGTCTTCTCCTAACCATCTTTCAGTCAAAAATCCTACTGATATATTAATAAATCCTAAAACTGATGAATAATTTAATCCAAAATATATAGCTACTAACCAAAACAATTTTGGATATGTTTTCATTTATTCAAAAACACTTACTTCTGATTATTAATTATTTTATTATTATTATTATTATTATTATTATTCTTCTTCTTATGCCAATTACATGTATTTTACTTTATCATAATCTATATTATCTAACATTTTAGTTTCTGCACATTTATCTATACTTGTTGATATTATTGCACAAATAATACAAAATAAGTTAAATAAACAACCAATGGATGTAGCAACTAATAATCCATATTTCAGAGCAAGCAAAGGACAAAAATACATTGTAGCAACAGAACCAAACCCAGCAAATAATGTATTCATACCTATTGTTAATCCCTTTATATAAATTCATTTAATTACTAAATAATCATCCTTAAAATACGGTGATACAAATGATGTTTAAATTGGTTAAACGGATTCTATACCCCAACCCAATAATATCCTTGCCAAATACATTACTATAAAGCTTTTTATCATTACTCCATATGCAAACAATCCTTAACCTATAAAAACAAATGATACAGTCTATAATAATATTATTCGATCACCCATTGCATCTCTCATTCCTTTTATTTATCTTATATTATATATTACTTCCTGTAATGAAAGGTAAAAATATATTTGCAAATGAATATATACTATATAATCCACTAAAATATATTTCAAATTCCCCTTCTGTCAATACATCACTAAAATGTTATCTTAATGTATTATGCAAAGCAGCTGGTACATCAAAACAAAAAAATGCTCCTGCTACTATCCAAATACAAAACCCAAGTAAAATCCAACGATATTTAAAATGACCTTTATTTAAAAAATGATATGTTTTATCTTTCCCATCATTTTATTTATTTTCCATTTTTAAAGATAAAATTATAATTTATAATAAAATATTACATTTATTTTATATATTCAATTAAGTTATAATCTTTTTGCATTTCTAACATAAAGTATTATTATTCTCTTTTTTTTTAAATTATCTTAATTTACTCAAATTTGAAACACTATTTATTTTTTTACCTTAATCATAAAATTTGACTTATAATTAAAATTAAAAATCTGAATCCTACAATTATGTATGATTAATAATTAATTTTTTGATTGATTCTAGATATTACAGATTTGATTGTAAGAACTTGTTTATTAAGTATGTGTAAAAAGATTTATAGAAATAACAAAAAATGAGATATAGGATAATGGATTAAGAATTAGTGATAATATTGAAGATGAAATAGATGAAAATGATTAATTAGTTTTATAAATAAAATAAAAATAAAATCTTAAAATGAGTGATTTACTTAAATAAACATTGAAAGGACAACAGAAATAGAAACCGCCGATTGCAAAGAAATAAATTGAAAGTATATATTATCATTATAGAAAGATGATGATGAAGATGATGATAAGGAAGAAGAATAAGATTAATTTGATGTTGATTTAAAGTAATAGAATGATTGAATAATATATAGTAAGAATTAGATTCCAGTGAAATTATAAGGATCAAAGCCATAACCAATAAAAGCAGATCATAATATAACTCATTGTATAATAATAAATATGAGATTATAGCGCATCATTAAAATCCTTAATAAGGTAAACCAACTAGAAAGATTCATGATTATTCTCCATAGAAATGGAATGAATTTTATGACGAGATGATATATCATCCAAATGTAAGAGAATTGATATATAATAGGGAACACCAATATATATTGCTGGAAAAAATAAAGCACCAATATTTTTATGTTTACATGGAGCAGGACATTCTGCAATGTCATTTGCAAATTTAGCAAATGAAGTAAAACAATATGCAACATTGATTTCTTTTGATTTTAGAGGACGTAATAATAATAAATGAATATTAGATGGTTAATCAAAAATAGAGGAAGAGAATCCAAAGTTAAGTTTATAACAATTATTGGATGATGTAATAGAAATATTTGATTATATTACTACATAATGGCCAAAATAGACAGTAATAATAGTAGGTCATTCAATGGGAGGGGCAATAGCAGCAAAATCAGCTAATATATTAATATAATCATAGAAAGCAGATAAAGTTTAAGGTATATAAGAATATAATGAATAAATATAGGTTTAATAGTAATAGATGTAGTTGAAGGAAGTGCAATAGAAGCATTACCATTTATGGAATAGATTGTAAATAATAGACCTAAACATTTTAAATCTTATGAATAAGCAATTTAATGGAGTTTAAATACATCAACATTAATGACATTATCATCAGCTAGAGTATCAATACCTGCATAATTGAAAGAAGTTAAAGATTAGAATGGGAATTTATTAAGTTTAGATTGGAAAGTTGATTTATTAAAGACATCACCATATTGGATGGGTTGGTTTGAAGGATTAACTAATTCATTTTTATAGATTAGAATACCTAAAATATTGATGTTAGCTGAAAAAGAAAGATTAGATAAAGATCTTACAGTTGCTTAGATGCAAGGAAAATTTAGATTGGTTGTATTATAGAATACTGGACATAGTATTTAAGAAGATGATCCTAAGAGCACTGCTCATAATTTCCATGATTTTATATTAAAATTTAGAATCCCTACAACTGTAGAAGAAGTTGAAAAACTTAAATAAGTTGGAATTGGAAAGTTTCATCCTATCATTGGGAATTATGAATATTAATAGAAATATTATTGAATAATGTGTTCATTAGAAATACTTATTAAAAATAATAGATATATATTAATTTTACATTTTATCACCCTCTCAAAGTATTCTAAATACATCTTCTTGTGTATAATTTTAAAAATTATTATTATTTATCAGTATCTTAATTATTTTCTATCCATGTTCTTTTCTCTGACTGAGTCAGAATATTTTAAGGTCCCTCTTCTAAAACAGAACCCAATAATGTATGATAATCAATAAATGATATCTTCGATAAAGCTATTATACAATCTTAAATATAATCTTCCACTTCTTCATCTGTTGGACCTTTTCTTAAGGCTTCAAATAATTTCGATGTATATTAAGGAATTAATGGATTGATAATTTATTAGAATTCTATTAATATAATTATATTATAAATACTCTCTTTATATTCTTATGGAATTTACACTTTGAATGCTTCATCTTATGGTTTTAACATCAAAAAAGCCACTTCTAACCATGAATACAACACTTTTGCTGCACCTGCATGTTCTAATCCTATTGCCATTAGTGTCAATTATAAAATTGTTTATAATGCTTAACTTTATAATAGTAACACTGGTGTATATCTACCATATCTAACAAGCATTCCAAACAAATCTTCTGTTAAATCAGGATTCTCTTCAAAACTTGATAATTAAGGCAAGTGTTAAAATGTAATATTGCAAAGATTCTCAAATGCTTCAGATAGTAGATTACGATATTCTGGATATTTATAAAATACAGTTGCAGATACTTCAGCTATATATATACATGCTGTTATTGGAACTTATCGATAAACATTCAAAAAACTTTGAAATACTTATGTTAACAAATCTACTGAAAACTAGTTAAATGCCTTTCTGAATGTATGTTTTGTATATCTAACAATCTTCTCTGCTACTCCATGTTCAAATATTGCAATTCTCTCCATACCAAATTTTAAAATTGGCCATAATTCTTAATAAACATTTACTATTAATATTCTCACTGCTAAGTATTCATTTGATTCATTAGCAGGAATCTAGCTATTTACATATGCTAAACTTGAAATGTTCTTACTATATTGTTTAATGTTCTCCTCTAATGTATCAGATCCTGCTTATGTTATTAGTAATTCTTCTATCTATTTTTATAATTGAACTAAATTTTGAGCGAAAATTGAACACAATTTTAAATAATAATTTTACATTGTTTCTTAACTCGAACATATTGCATTAGCTACTCCTTTTATTAAATTGTCATAATTAGATCTAAATTTAAAATTAATTATTATTACACTTATTGTAATGTAAATATCAGATCTAAAAATTAATTTAAATGTAACAACACAAAGTTTTAATTTTACTAACAAATTAATTAAAATGCTTTTGTTGCTTTCTTCTAAACTGATGAAACCTTATGATGAATGCCTATTGTTATAAAATTGAATAATGATGGTAATAACTCATTTGAACTTATCAATTAAGCACAACCTTTTGAAATTGTTTTAAAAACTAAAAATAATAATCAAATACAATATTACCTGATTTCATTATGAAATTATTGCTTGCCTATGGTTATTATTGATACACATCCAAATATAATTTTATAATCTCCATTAAGTATTAAACACCTATTTAATCATTTTTTAGTATTATCTATTTAATTATGCCACTAATTAAATTCATACAAGCTTCGAATGTAATCCAACCATTTTCATTCATTTGTGGAATAAATTCCTTCTTAAGAATACCTCCTAAATGTTAGATAATTAAATTTGGTTGAATGATAGTTACTAATTCCTCCATTATTTCTTTCATCTATGATCTAGTGTCTAATTATTGTTCAAATTCATCCTTAATTTTAGGAGAAATCCCATATTCAGCTAAAAGTATTTTATTCACTTTGCTTTTCTAAACACATCCATTAATCAGTTATTCAAATGTTATTGAAAATTTATTTTACAATTACAAATCATTCATTATTCTTAATGTTTTAATCATTTTAATCCAAAAATCCATTAACACATCACTTTCAGTAAAAGAATTTTCATGACAAAATATCCCCAAAATCATTTATAAAAATGGCTCCAATTAAGTATTAATTAAGATTTTATGTATTACCTTTTTACCTACCTTGCAATATAGTTTTATAAAGTTATATATTTCATCAGAAGCTTCTTCCTCTAATGCTTTTTTACATGCAGGAAATGTTTTATAAATTTCATCAAATAATACTTATAAAACTTATGGTTCTAATTAAGGTTATTCACATATTGTTTTCGGAATGATACCAACAAATGTACATATTGCTTCAACAGCTTTACTCTGTAATTCTTCATTACTTATGGATTCCAAAGTACCTTTAAAGAGAGTAGTTTGACTACTTAAATTCATAAATTGAATTGCCTATAATGATTTAAATTTTTTAATTACTTCTTCTTCAGTTATACTAGATTTCATGAATTCCAACCATTTTTTGTATGACTTTAAGATATTATACTTAAGAGAATCATCAGATACTGCATTCCATTATGTTTATAGAAATGTTAAAATGTCCAACATTTATTTATTTTTAATGTCTTAAGCAATAAGCTTCCTTTTTTCATCATCAATAATAATTTTTTTATTTTCTGTAAGCTCTTCTGGAAGTGTCTCTAAGACATCATATAAGAACTTCTAATGAGGACTATTATTTTGTGAGTAATCAAGGATTTGTGAAATAACTCTAAAAATAAATAATATGTTTACTCTAAAATAGATTTGGTTTGCGATGAATATGTGTACAAGTATAAATAGATGAACATAAGTACACATTATATTCTAGTTGATTTTTAATTTAATACACTATAGTGAAGTATGATTTGAATGCAGTTCTAATATATTTATGGCACTTCTGTAGGTTTTAGTGATACTAATGTATGATTATATTGGAATACTGAAATCGTAGAGAATTTTGGATTACAAAATACGTAACAATTAAAACACCAATGATGGATCAGGATTTTATTACAATATCTTAATACAAATTCCCCAAGCTTCATTTGATTATGAGAAGCTTCTTAGAAAACTGTCTGCTTATTCAACTTATCCTGAATTAAAAACTTGGATTGCTTGACATACATTTTCAATCGAAAATTCAGCCATGATTTAATAATTAATTAACTGATGGAATATACTATTAAGGATATGAGTGGATTCCTATTAAATAAGTAAACCTACTCCTAATCCCTAGATAATATAAGCTTCTCAAAAAACTAGGAGCAGGAGCATTTGGTGAAATTTATTCAGCTACCGCCAATGGTTAAGATTACGCGATCAAAATAGAGAGATCTGATACTAAACATCCCCAACTTCTTTTTGAATCTAAGCTTTATTAATATCTAAACAATTCCCCGATTATTGGCATTCCAAAATATTACGGATATTTATAATAAGACAATTATAATTTCCTAGTCATGGAGCAGTTAGGCAAAAGTCTTGAAGATATTTTCACAGACAATAATCGCATCTTTTCATTGCAATCAGTTACTGTCTTAGCTCTATAAATGTTAGAATGTATAGAATTCTTACATAGCAAATAATTCCTTCATAGAGACATCAAACCTGATAATTTCTTATTAGGCAAAACACATAAAGATAGAGTTTATATGGTTGATTATGGATTAGCTAAAAAGTATATTAATAAAGATACTCATATTCCATATAAAGATAATAAAGCTTTGACTGGAACTGCTAGATATGCTTCTATTAATACTCATTTAGGAATTGAATAATCTAGAAGAGATGATTTAGAATCTCTTGGATATGTTATTATGTACTTCTTGAGAGGTACATTACCATGGTAAAATTTAAGAGCTAATACTTAAAAGGATAAATATGACAGAATTATGGAAAAAAAATTAGCCACTTCAAGTGAAACTTTATGTAAAAATCATCCAAAATAATTATACCATTTTATTGAATATGCTAAGAATCTTAAATTTGATGAAAAACCAGACTACAATTATCTTAAAAATCTTTTTATGTCAATTATGAAAGAAAATGAACTAAGAATTGAGTACATTTATGATTGGGATGATGAAGATACTCATCGAGAGAAAATACTCTTAAAGAATTAATCCTAAAACTAATAATAAGATTAATAATAGAGTAATAATCTCATTAAGAATACTAACTACTCTCAATATAATAATAACAGATAATCAGTTATGAGAACTAAAACATCATCCATACATTCAATAAATAAGATATCAGTTTTAAAAATATAATAAAATTTAAATACTTAAAATAGTTAAATTAACAATAAGAAAAACCCAATAGAAAACAAAGTTAAATCAATTATCAAAAAACATTCGAGCTTACACTATAACTGATATATTTTATTAATAAAAAACAAATTTTTATCATTTTGTGCATCATTTTAGCTTATGTTTCTTTGTGAATTCATCTAATTGATCTTCAAATGTTATATCAGATTTTGTAATATCTCTCAAAATTGTCTCACCTCCTAAAGAATTCTTACTTTATCTTAGTTTTATATTAAGACTTGTTAAAACCTACGATAAATCTTTTTACTATTTCCTATGTTGACCATGCCATGTCAAATCCTAAGATCCAAAAGATTTTAATTATGATATTTAAGTTGATTAGATATTTATTTACTATTTATTGATTGGTTTAAATTGAGTATTCTAAGATGTAAAAGATTCCAAAATGCTTGCTTCATTTAATAAATGTCTCTAAGCAGCATATTTATAAAAATCTGATGATGAGTTCTACTTCTTTTTATTTTAAGTTTAAATGTTAACTTGGGATTATTAATTTTGATTAGATTAGTATTATCTTAGAATGATAGAGGATTAATCATTATTATCAAGTTTAGTATTAAATTCTTTTAGATATTCATTTTTACTCAACAATTTTTAATTAAAAATACTTTTGTCTCTGAATTCAGGATCTAAGAAATTTAGATTTGCAGCTCTATCTAAATTTTTTTACCTTTCTTTTTCTCTTAATTTCAACACTTCATCTAATTTAGGATCTCTGATATCATTCTTGAACATATTTTGAACTTCTTGTAATCTTCTTTAAGCTTCCATTTATTTTAAGGTAGGACCTTAAACTTCATTTTAATACAAGTGTCTTATTTTATCAAATTTTAAATCTCTAGGACTAAATTCATCTTTCATTACTAATGGTTTTTTATTTAAACTTTATAAAGATAATGAATTTTATCTATTAACTGATAATGAATCTGTTAGACTATAAATTTCAGCTTCTTTTTCAGTTTTAGATTATTTTCTTAAGATATCAATTACTTTAAATCCATAAATGATTCTCTTTTTTAGTTCAGATTACTTCGTATATTTGATATCCCATTTGATTGGTAAAGGATGATTGATATTATATGCAGCAATTAACTCTCCATTTAAATCAAATATTTTTATGATTCCATCAATAGAAGTGATTAAGAGAAATCTGTTATCTAATTGTAAATAGGATAAACTAACAATTTATTTTTTGGAAGCATTAAAAGTAATAATGTGTTTGAGTTTTTCAATTCCTTGAGGTGGTGAAATATGAATTGGATCAGTTATTAAGACTTATTCTTTAGCTTTTCTAAGAGGATTATAATTAATTCTTTCATGTACTGGTTAAGTTGGTTCAATTGATATATTAAGTTGTAATCTGATGATGTTATTTTCACTTGTGACCATAGCTAATTCTAATTCTTTAACACTTAAAACAATTTTAGTAATGAATTCTTATTCTCCTTCTTCTGTAACATAATTAGAACAATTTGCCACTTCATAGATTTAATGGACAGTTGTTTTTACTTCGATGTGATCTTTTACAATAAATTTCATAATGTAAAGTCTGCCAGTTATTGTAGAAACTGCAAATAAAGGATAATTGGCAATAAAGATGATGGATGTGATATCACCATCAAATTCGAGAAAGCTTAAACATTTAATAAATTCGTAATCGAAGATATAGAGATGATTCATATAGGATGCTAATAATAAAGAATGATGAACAGAGATTTCTAGATGTTATGATTTAAAAGGTGTAATTTCTCTTAAGATTTCAGCATTCATTTTTTGTATTTGAACACTATCATGACCAGATGTGATAATAAGTTTATTGAGTATATCTAATTTCAATTACAAAACATCAGAATGTCCTTTAAGTGGTGCAAAGAATTCTCCAGTATGAAAATAGATTTTAAGATTACCTTTAGAATCAGATAAAATGAATTTGTTATAATAATTAAGTGGTCTGAATTATGTAATTTCATCTTCTAATTCATTCAATAATCCATTAAGAATTCTTTTCATTCTTCCTGTTTAAATATCCATAAAAATAATGTTTTTTTTAGAGGCAACAATTAATTCATCTCTTTATGGATCGAAATCGATTTTGATAACATAATTATCAGATTAATCTTTTTTGCGGATGTCTAATTTAAGTAGATTAACTCTGGATCCTAAGAAACAAATCATAGATTAATCAGATAGATCTAATAGTTTAGTGATTTAAGTTTTTCTTCCAAAATTGAGTGATTATAGACAAGAGAATGTTCTAATATCCCAAAGTCTCAAGGTACCTCCATCATCTCCTGAAATTAAGACAGGACTTCTACCAATCATTTAAATAGATGTTAACATAGATGTATGTCCACTTAATTTACCAATCATAGTAACATCATGAAATTTAGGATTGATTTCATAAACATTAATATATGTAGAATATCCACAAGTAATGAATATTTAATAATAATAGGAATAGATTAAACTATGTATACCTCCATGTTCTTTGAGTGAAACAACTATTTTAATATCTTTAGTATTAAGATCCCATACAACAACTTGTTTATCTAGTGAAGCAGTAGCAATCATTTTCATATGAACTACTTCTACACAATCTATTATACAACCTGATATCTTATTTGTTGAATAAATATTAGCGACATTTTCAGTTTGTAAATCCCATTCGTATAATTTAAAAGTGGCATCAGTTGTAATCCATTTATTCTAATTCTCTAGATACCATATATTAGTTTGATAATCTTAGGATGCATATACAGTAGGAAATATTCTGAAAGTTTTAAAATCACTCTCATACATACATAAAGAATGAGATTTTAGTGTTAATCCAATCTATAATTTAATATTTCAATTATACTCTCTGTTATCTATCTGACCATGCAAAACTTAAAATGATAGTCTCCTTATCTTCACTTTAATTGATTTTCACCTAATTCTTAAGAGTACCATCCAAATTATAAATGTTAAGTTTTGAATCCAAACTGTCCAGTGTCACAATCTGTTTCATACATACTTATCCTGTATGTACATTATTATTATGATGTCTTATTGCATCATTAATCAATGATCCATTCACTATATGACAAATCTCTCCATCTGCTTATCCTATGATCCTAGGAGCATTCTAAATAATAATCTATATATACCACATCTATGTCTCGAATTCTACTCTTATTCAATTCAAACTTCTTAGGTTCAGGTATCAACATCTAAGGTACTATATTGTTTGTTATTGGTTCCACTTAACATACATAACTTGTTACATCCGATAATGACAATTCATTTTATTGACAAGCTGCCACTATGTCTTTAAACAACTCAATCAAACCCATCACTAAATACAATAACTCACATTGTTTATGATGCACAACTGATATCATTATCTTTATAAACTCTACCATATTCACTCTTCTCTGAGGCCACAACCGTTCCATTACCAACAATTCGTCTCTTTCTATCAGTTCCAATATATTCCCTTATTTTGAAAGTCTGAAGTCTGTATTCTCAGTATCGATCATATTCTGCAGCACCTATTCAATTATCTAGTTCACCGACATTTAATTATTTATTTACAATTTATATATTATATATATATATATTTTATTTTTATTACATATATTATATTTATTTAATATGTTTATACATTTTATATATTTATATATTTATACATTTTATATATTAACTTCAGAAAAAAAAATTAAATAAAAAATGAAAATTTTAACTAAATATTTTCAATATATAAGTCATTAGAGTTATATTGTATGTTTTTTAAGTAACTATTTTTAAATTTTACTAAACAAAATTTTTCCAAGTGTGACTAATGGAAATCTTCTAAAAATTTTCATTTCTATTTTTATTTAATAAAATCTTTAATTTAATTTATAAATAAACTGTCTCACCGATGGTTTCTTAACAGAAGAATCAAATATTAACAGAGTCCTCTCTATTTTTATGTTTTTCGAATAAAACTTTTTTTAAGATTCAAATTAACAGTTTTAGATAATTTCTTTTTGACAATATGCCATTTAGCCCTGAAGTATAAAGTTCAGGAATGAATGGTGTAAAAATAAGTTTAGCACCTCTGAAAGAATGTAATTTTTTACTAATTAAGAAGAATATTTAGGATCATTTTCAAGAATTAAAATAAATTAATTGAGCCTTTTTATAATTTTAAGAAGCTTCAAGATGATAAGCAAAAAATTCCTTCATCAAATTTATGATAGGCCTACTTAAAGTTCCTTAAGGAAAAATGAATTTTGTTTAGTGATTACTATAAAAATATTCCTCCATTGAAGTATCAGAACATAGTATTTTCATAGTTCTTGAAATAATTTTATTATCTAAAAATATCAATTTCGTATTTGAATCTTATAATTTTGGACCTTTAATTTATTAATTTAGGTTTAATCCATCCCTTGACCGTATAAAATATTATAAAATACTATTATAGAATTTTCAATTAAATACAATTAATTTACCTAATAATGAAAAGTCAATTTAACAATATTAATTAATCATTTAAAAAATATAATCTAAATATTTAATATCATATTTATTTTTATACATTATTTTTTTTCTTATCTTTTTGTTTTTATTAAATTCTAATTTCTTATGATAATTTTTTTAACATACATTATACAATAAGAAATATATTGTATAAATTTCTACAATTAGATATCAAAGATACCTATGTTAGTAGTTATAAAATGATTTTTCTAATTTTTTTTTGGATTTAATTGAAAAAAATTTAAATAAGAAGGAAAATGAACAATGAAAACATGAAAAATATCTTAAAAAAATAAGCCTTTATTATTTCTTTAAGAAGAATCTATTCAATAATTTTGGTTTATTTCCTCCTAATTTTCTAATAATAAAAATATATTAATTTAAATATTATAGGATGTCTGATAGCGAAGAGAATTCAACAAGTAGTCGTGAAATTAACTTAGAATTTATAACAGTAAATTGTGTGATAATTCTTTTTTAATTAGGCCAAACTATACGTTGAATTGATAGATGTAAGAGATCCCATTTAAAATTATATTGAATACTTCCCATAATTTGATTTGAGTAAAATGTAATAAGCAAATGGAATAAATATCTTCAAATTGACAAGCAAACTTAAAGAATTGGGAATACAATTAGAAGGACGCACAATTTCTTATTATAGTTTTGATTGCGATATGTATATAAATTGCGGATTGGATCCTGTACATTATTCTTATGTAATGCCATTAAATGAAATAAAATAAACAAATTAATTACGGATAAAATGCATACAGACAGGGGTTTCCCTTATTCATTTAGTGATGTCAGAAGAAATGAATGAGAAAGTTAATAAAATGAAGGAGTAGGAAGGAAATGAACAATAATAATAATAGTAACATCAAGGATAGGAGAACTAAAAGCAATGTAGAAGAACGAAAGAAAGAAGAATTGGATACATAATTGAGAAAGTAGCAAAATGGAGGGAATATTATAATGTAATAATTTTTAATATTGTAAGGGTATTACAATAGATGGAGAGAGTAAGAGATTTACACTTGAAGAAGCTGCTCAAAAAGTTAATATCTCTAAAAAGAGTTTAGATGATTATTTACTATAGATTCGATATGGAAGGAAATTCGGATTTAATTTTAATGAACATAAGAATGAAAAAGTTGGAGTATTAAGAGCATTTGTCAAGAAGAATAATTCTTCAAAGAAGAAGAAGGTAAAACAAGAATGATTACCAAATTTAAAATATCGATTATTAATTTTCTATTATTATTTTATTACTATCGAATGTTTCGTATTTTTTTTATTTTGAATTATTATTTTTTATCTAGATTTATCTGAATAGATAATAATCTTTTATTGTTCTTTTATGTTTAAAATTTAATTGTAACATAACAAAACTTATCTACTTTAAATAACTCAATATTCTTTGTATTTAATGTATATTTAAATAAATAAAGAAATCTTAAATTTTTAAATAGAAAACGTAAAATAAATTCAAATAGTAAGATATTGATAAATATTATGAAGTTATATAAATAAATTATAAATATTTTATAATAATTTTATTTTTAAGAATCTCTGAGCATTTTAGAATTGATTAGGGCAGTTAATGTAATGTATTTAAGTAATCTCTAATTATATGAAAGTAATATTGAAAGTTACTGAAACGAATAGAAGGGTAAATATGAAATATAATTGAAGATTAAGATTATTTATAGGAGGAGTATTAAGGATTAGAAATAATTGAGTTAGATATGAAAGAGAAATAGATAGTAAATAAAAAAGTAAAATATTGGTGATATAACATATCCGTTTTAATAATTAATAATAATGTATAAGGTAATATTATTATGTTCACTTGTAATATTTGGAAGTAGTTTGACAGAGAGTGAAAGACTTTTGTAATCCTTAGAAAGTAATGAGTTTGGAAAGACAATAATTTAAATGATCTAAATTCAATTGTAAGGAAACAGCAGTGTTGATAAAATAATAGATTTGTTAAGTTAGATGAAGGATAGAATAAATAGTGAATAAGATATGGAGAGATAAAAGTCAAGAGATCATACATAATTTTGTGATGACAAATATGATGAAATATTATTTGTTATAGATTCATCAGAATATTAATTAGCAAAAGATTAATAAACATTGCCATTATTTATTTAAGAATAAAAAAATAAATAAAGATAATTATTAGATAAAGAAGAAATTGAAGAGAGAAATAATTAACGTATAGGAGAATTAACAGATTAAAGAGATTTAACAAGAGTAATAAAAAAATTTAAACATAGTAATAATATGAGAATAGAAGAGATGAATTAACAACAATGATAGGTGCATTACAAGAAGGAAGAAGAATAATTAGTAAGTTAAGTACAAAGAAATGGGATCCTTTGAGTGGAACATTTTCATTCCTTGAATTTTCATAATTTATGTTTAATGAATTAGAATCACATTAAAAGTCTTTAAAGAAATAATCAAATGGAATAGGATTGTTATATGAATTGCTATTAGAGACATCACAGTAAGATGGTGCTGATTATTTATTAGAGATCCAGGAATATAGGCAAATTAATAAGGTGTAGCAAAGATTTAAGAGATAATGGATGAATTAATAGAGAGCATATTTGATTTATTAAAGAAAGAATTATTGGAAGATAATGCAAGAGAATAAGATTATTAGAATTAAAAGGAAAGAATAGTAATTTAGAATAGAAGATTATAAGCTACAATAGCAACATTTAGAGCTAGAGTATTGATAATAAATTAAACAATACTTGAATTGAATAATGACATAAGATTCAATACTGAAGTAATTGATTTAATTTAAATATAGAAATCTACTCTGCTCAGAAAATAGAAGGATGATTGGGAAAAAACATGTGTAGATTATCATAATGGATATGTTGAGGCTACTAAAATTAGGTATAATTTTATAATAAATGATATTAGAACATAATAAAGTGACATATTAACAGAAGTTATTTAAGTGTTTAATAGAAATTATAATGAATTCCCAAGTTTAATTTAGAATATAACAGTTTGATTAATTTATTAAATGAAAAATGATAAAGAGTTCTCTATAAAGGAAACAGTTAATAAAAACATTGAACGTGTTTAGTTTCCTGCCTTCAATTAACATAGTAGTCTATTAGGTTGGTGCTCAATGAATTACCCTCGTGTTCTATAGAATCCTTAATTTATGCCTAAGCCTAAACCTAAAGAATATGATGATAATCTTGATTTCCTATATTAGAAACGTAAGAAAGTATTACAATCTCAAAATTAAAATAGGAATAATAAAATAATCAACTAATTAAACCATTTACGAATTATCAGTTAACTAAAGAAGCTGTAATTCCAGAAGATATAGGGGCTCCTCCTCCAGGATTTAAAAAGACACTCAAATAATTAACTACTGCTAAACCTGAATCTAAGGCATTAATATACAACTAGACTTATAAAGACTATGATCCATATTTGAATATTAAACCAATCAATAGCTAATTCAAATAAGAATAGAATGAAAACTTTACAAGAAATATTCGATAAGTAGGTGATGTTGTGTATAATTAATCATATGAAAATGAAGATATTAGACACTTAAAGGTATTTCAAATAAATGATTATTTAGAAATTGCCAAATTCAATATTATCTGAGTAAAATCTTTAAGAAGCTTTAAATCCTAAATTAAAGTTTCTAAATTTACATAATCACACTTGGCTGAAAATGGAATAAATAAGTAAAATTGGATACTTTGCTGTTAATCTTGAAGAAATAATATTATCTAATACAGATTTAGAGGATGATATATTAATGGAATTAGCAAAATCATGTAAAAATTTAAAAGTCATTGATGTTTCTTCATGTCATAAATTAACTGAAACTGGTATAAGGAATTTCCTAGATTATACTTCTAAATATTTATAAGGTTTTAGATGTGCTAGTAATTTATAATCAATAACTGATTATTCATTAGAACCATTATAAAATGCTCCTTTTTTATAAAAAGTAAATATTTCATTTTGTAACAATTTAACAAGTAACTTTACAAAATATCTTCTTTAAAGTGGATGTAAATTAAAAGAACTTTAAATAGCAACAGTTGAAAATCTTTAATCAGATTTATTATCTGATCTTATATCACGTTCAAAAGCAGATATGGAGTATTTAGATTTATCCTTTATTCCTACAAAAGATATTAATGATTCAGTCATATCAGCAACCTCACTTTGTTCAAATGTTCATACACTTATTCTTTCAGGATCAACTAATGTTAGTGATTCTTCAGTAGGTAGATTGAGCTCTTTACATAAATTAAAATAACTTAAATTAGGTGGTATTCAGTATCTTGCTGACAATACTTTAATCTATATTGCTTAATCATGTAGTAAACTTGAAATGTTAGAATTAAATAATTGTAGTAAATTAGGAGAATAAGGATTAGAAGGAATACTTAAAGTATTATTCATTTATATTATGTTTAGGCATTACCAAATCTATAAGTTATTTCAATTAACTTTACTCCTGAAATTTCTGATCCATTTTTATTAGAAAAAAGAAATGAATATCCTAAAGTTAATATTATTCGTACCATCAATAAAATGACTGATCCTAAAGATGATGGATTAAGAATGCCACTTCCTTTAGAAAGTGTTGTAATGTAAAGACCAAAAAAGAAAAAGAAGAAGTGAAATTATAATTAATATTTTCATATATTCATATTTAACTTATTAATTTCAACTACAATTATTGCATTTGCTCAAAAAGTTTCTTCCACTCTTACTTTTGTGTACATTTATATGGACAAATTTAACAATGTGGACATTAACTCACTAATAATGAATAACAAGATGGCAATTGAACAAAATAACATAACAAAGATTTTATTTTATCTTAAACCTACATTATTTATATTTATTATTTACTTTCTATAAATCTATAACATTTAAAATTGGAATTATACTCACTTATATTATTGATAGATTATTTATGATGATTTTTTCTAATTCAACTTTAAATTATGTATTCACTTAGATCTATCCCAATATTTTAGTATCTTCTAAAATTTCAAGAATATATTAAATTAAATCTTAAAGTAGTTCTTGATTCACCAAAGATTATTTATGAAGTAAATTCAAAATTCCTATTGCTGATGATTTTTCTTATTTAATTAAACCAGGTAATTATTATAAATTAGGCATAAATCCTTATTATTACAAAAAGTATCTTAATTTAATTTATCTATTAAATTTAAATGACATTTTAAATAAATTCTATGCAATCTTTAAAAGATACTAATAAGTCTTTTCATTTAATAATTTAATATGATGATCTACAATATCCTGAATGATATCTATTAACATTAATTACAATATGCATTTTAAAGTTAGCTAATCAGAATTTAATTGAATTTAATTCTTAGGTAGATTTAAACTTAATAAATCATCTATAATAGATTAATCTAATTATGCTGCTTCAAATAATACATTTGGAGTTGTATTTTAAACCATTAGATCTAAAATTTAAATAGTTTGATTCCAGTCTAATTTTTATCCCTCTTTTATAATAATTGATTTAAAAGTCATCACGCTTGTCTTTGCCAAATATTCATTACTTTATACAGTACTATTTAATAAAATTGTTGATATTTCATCATAAGCTTCCTTAATATCATGATCAAACACTAATTCTAAGAGACTTTTGTGTGCCATCTAACAGATTTCTTTTTTAGCTTTACTTAAGGAGACAAATAATTCTTTCATCATTCCTTTCATTATTTACACATATTGATGTCCCTTAATATTTTAAGTGTTTGATTTCAATATCTTAAAAAATGATTGAATTGCTTATTCTTAAATCTACTATTAATTATTTGAAAATAAATTGCATATATGAGCTAAAGATTACATCCAAAAAGCATAATATAGGTTATTATCATACTTCATTAATGATTCAACAGCATTTTGAACATACTCTATTCCCTTCAATAAAACATGTTGTTCTTCTCGATTGAAAAGAAACTAAAATGTTTAATCGATTTCATCAAAGATATCTTTTAAATTAATTAAATCTTCACTAAACACTTTATTTAGAACCTCTATTGAAATATTGACTAAAATTATTGATTCCTATAAAGATTAATTAATTATTTTAAAAACAACTCTCCATCCACTTTTCAATTTATAATAACACATATGAGATAACATTCTCATACATGATAATATAAACTCTTTAACTTCTTAAAATGATGTTTGAGCATATATAAGTTCAAAAGGTTATAGAAATTCCCTTTAGAATTTAAAATTATTATGTTCATATTGCTATATAAACTTTACACTCATTTATTTTAATTGATCACAAGCATACAATGATATATCAGAATTAGCATGAATTCCTGCTGTAACAAAATGAGCTTTCAATAGATTCCAAATTTACATCCATATCAATCTTATTCTATCCATATTAAAACTAGTCACTTCTACTAATCTCTATAAACTAAAGATTCTTGGTTCTGGTAATGTAATCTCATTTAGTGATACATCAATTAAAGATTATAGAAAATCTAATATTGTTCTAGAATCCATATAACTAGTATTCTACATTACTTTATCTATACTAGAAATATCTATAAAACTCTAAATATTTTTGCTGATACTTTCCAAAGGCTCCTGAAGAATTTTCCCTTTTTATTTTTCATTTAATAAATAATTAATTGAACTAATTATTTCAAGTACTGGTCTCCAATTATTTTTTAGGGCATTTCCATTTTTTATAGCTAAATCTATTATACATTATAAGGCTTTATAGTTTTTTTATTTTAACTATTTATTTTCCAAAGATGCCAATTAACATAACCATTAAATGAATTATTAACATAGATCACATATACCCATCATACTCATTAATTAAAGAGTATAAGTAGCATTCTGCATGGCGATTGATATTATTTATACATTTTCTGTTCTTTCAATTGTAACATTTAAATTAACAAATAAAGCTGGCCAAAATACTTCCATAAATAATTTAATGTAATCTATTCTCGGCATAAATATGTATATTTTCTATTGTAATGATTTTCTCTCTAAATTCATCCAATCTATTTAAGAATTTTACTGTTTTTCAATACTAGAATGTATAGCTAATGGTTCTTTTAGAATTTAATCAAAACAATATTTCAAATATTCTTCTCCTAAATCTCTTTCCATTGATAACTTAGAAGATTTACAAAATTATTAAAATGTCATTTTTGTTTTTACTGATTTATTGTAAATATCAGTCTATAAAATAATTAACAGATATGAAAACACATATGTTTCATCACTATTTTTAAATACATCATCAGGATTATCTTAAAAAAACTTCTATGAAAACACTAACATACATCTATCTACTTATTATGCTTCTCCTGGTAAAGTAAAATAATTTAAATATTTCCTTAAAGCATCCACTATATGATCACCTTTAAAATCTATAGATTATGAATAAATTTAAAATATTAATTAATGATTATCTTTACTAGAACCAAAGAATTATCCTAATTACTCTTTGTTGAAAGGATTATCATGTAAAAATTAAGCTATTTAAGCATGACTAAAAAATTATATTATTAATACTTATTTTCATCTAAAATTCCTTAACTAATTAGATATTCTAATCCTTCTTTCCAATTTTATGAAAATCTTTATAATCCTGTTAAGATCTATTATTTATAAGTTAACTATTTTTCATGCCCTTATATATTTAATTAAATTACTGATCAAAATGCTCTATATTCTTTATCATCTTTTTTAATTAATCTTGATTCTATTCCTCTATTTATTCTGAATTAAAACCTGCTATACTGCTATTCTGTTCTTCTTAAACTATCTTAATAAATTGTTAAAGATATTTTTAAATGATACTATTTGCAATAAGACAATTATCTTAATGACTCTATTCTCCCTATGCAATTTATGCAACTTTTTCAAATAGGAGCTAAATTAAATTCTTTCTTTCAATTACACAATCATGATTAGTAAATAATTCTAGTATTAATTTTGGGTACTCAATTAATTAAAGTACAAAATCTAAAAATGCTGATGTTTAATCTGAAGGTAATTTATTAATTATAAAATCAAATATAATTTCTAATTAAACTTATAACAAATCTCTTGCATGAAATATAAGTAAGACTAAAATTTTGAATATTGTAGTTGATGTTCTTTTATTTTTTAAATTCAAACAAATCATACTTATAAAATTCTCATCAAAGTTTGTTTATTAGATATGTAATGGATATTATTCTACTATATAATGAATAAAATCTAGACAAATTTCTTTTTTGATATTTTTTTCCTTATTCGCTTAAGATAATAAATATTTGAATATAATTTGACAATCATCATTCTTGCTTTGTTATCCACTCTACATAATCTTAATATTTTCTATCATTTCAAAATGTTTCTTTTTACAAGGTACTGAACACACAGGTACTCTAGTATCTTTACAAAAATATGGTGCAGGCTATCTACATAAAATGCACCAACCAAATTTACCAGATGTAATACCATTATCAATTACTTTTACTTCTATATAGTTTTTATATTTTATATCTTCTGCTTCCCATGCTTAAGGAACAGAAGCTATAGGAATATTTGCCTATCCAGTTTTCATTCTTTCATTATATAAAATAACATCATCTACCATATGTCTTAACGTGATTGCTATATATTCAACTATATCATCATCTGATATTGCTACTGCTTAAATTTCTTTCGGCTCATCATAAATATAATTGCAAGATAAACCTTTATTTAACATGTTTTCCATATCAACTTTTACTTAACTATTGTCATACACACTTTTTATTGCTATTTTTATACTATTCTTTATAGAACCCATACCTAATTTGTATAAATGAAAATAGGCTTTAAAAGTAGAAAGTAAAGTTTCTCCACTAATAAGTAATCTTTATTATTTGAATAATGCATCAATGCATTTTACAATTAAATAATGTAAATTTTCATCTTACAATTTTGTACAGCTTATTATGGACTCCACTATTGAATCTATAAGCATCCTATCCTTTTGCTTTCCTTTCTCAAATTCTAAATAATCATACGAATAACCATCTATGAAATTTTAGGTTATCAATTTCTTAAAATAGAGGGAAATTATACTTCAAGGTCATAGAGGCAACATTCAGTGATTTTATTATGTTTGATATCAATGCAATACTTGTAAATAATAAAATACTTATTAGCATTTGTTGCAAATCGATTAACATCATTTTTTGCTTATTCAATTTGCTCTTAATATTAAAACATTAATACCTAAGGATTTCTCAATTAATGTTTTGAGACTTATCATTTATTTTGGAAGAAGCTTAAGGAGCTTATTTAATGAACTAGTCAACAACTCTTAATAAATAACATGACTGTCTTAATTTTAATTCATTTCAAATTGATAATATATAATATTGATAAAAAAATATTCAAATAATCATTATTTATATTTTCATATGTAATATTTATCTTTAATTATCCTTAATATCTTTAGATCTTTTTATTTTATCTAGCTTTTGTTTTGATTTTGAGAGAGAGACTTTTAAGGGGTATTCAATTTTTAATCTTCTGACTTTTTATATGTTGAGGAATATAAAATCTTATTTACATTGTTATTAATCTTTTGCATA